ATATATATTTACATCGTTAAATCATTCCAAAAAATGACTGTCAAGATAATAGTTCACTGTCAAGATAATGGTTTAATTTATATATCCAAATAAATAAAAATTAAATTTAAATATTAAAAGGAAAAAGAAGAGAGAGAGAAAAAGTATTGAACTGAAAATTTTTAATAAAAAAATTTTTTTATAAATTATTCCGTGTTAAATCTTCTTGAAAAACTGAAAAGTTTTATTTTTTCAATTCTCTCATTTTCTCTCACTATAAAAATATTAATTTTTTCACTTTTACTGTCAAGATAGACATAATGATAAAAAAGATTGACAATTAGAAGATTTAGAAAATAAGAATTAGGAGAATAAAGAAAATAAATTTAATTTTAAAAGAGAATTTAAATAATAATTATAATTAACAAAATAAATAAAATCACCGTTACCAAAGCCACAATTAATTTTAAATATTTTTTATTTTTATTCTCAACAACAAAAACCTCTCCATTATGTTCTTCTCTACGTTCTTCAAATCTTTTATAATGACCTTTTAATTAATTAAAATTAAAAAATAATTAATTAAAAAAACTTGTTTTTCCAGTATTTTTATTGTAAAATGATTTTTCTTTAATTTTCTTTTCATAAGAATGTTTGGCAATATTGCGATTATTTAAATATTCTTTTTTATTTTCAATTTGTTCTGAGGAAGAAGAAGAAGAATTATTTTTATCTTTATTTTTATGAAAACTTGTATGTTGTTTAAAACTTGTTTTATATCCATTTCCTTTTCCGTTATCATCTTTTTTTGGTTAAATTTGTGAATATTAAAAATTAATTTAAAAGAATTTTAAAAAATAATATAATTTACTTAGTAATTAAATTATTAATTTTTCGAATAAAATTTTAATATTTGGGAAGTAGTATTTTTAAAATTAATTTTACAAATTAATTACCGTGTCTATAATCACTCGTAGTTTGGAAATAAACTTTTCTTAAATTTAAAATTTATAAAATACTTATTTTTATTTAAACCTTCCATTCTTTTTATTGTATTCACTACTATTTCTTTTATAAGTTTTCCTTCGTGTTGTTTCATATCTCTGATACTTTATGAAAATTTAAAAGAAATTAAATATTCAAAATTACCTCATTTCCATATTTATTTTTCTTCTTTTTAATCCTTTTTTCACTAAAATATTCATTTTCAACTTCCATATCTGCTTCATTTTGATGACTATTTTCTTCTTCCTCTTCCTCCTCCTCTTCTTCTTCTCCTTCATTTTCATCTTCCTCTTCTTCTTCTACTTCAACCTCCACTTCCTCCTCTTCTTCACTACTACTGTTGCTTCTTTCATATTTTCTTCCATTGTCCCGTCTTTCTCTAATTAATTCATTAAAATATTCCTTTAAAATAATTAAAAATTAATTTTAATCAAATTTATTTAGAAAAAATTTCCAAATTGATTTAAAACTTTTTTTGGGATTAACTAAATTAATTTAGAAGAAAAAACCTCCTTATTTTCAACAAATCTTTTAACTCTTCCTCCTCCTTTTTTCCCCAATTTTATTTTTTTCTTCCCAACCAAATTCTTTTTTAATTTCCCCAGCCATTTAAATTCAAAACATCCAAATTTATTAAATTTATTTAAAATATTTTTTTCTTCTTCTTTTTTCTTTTTTCCTTTAAATAAATTTTTAAACCAAAAGATAATTGATTTAAAAGAAGTTTTCTTTTGCATTTCTCCGTGTAATTTTTTGCATTGATTTTCTAATTTTTTAAATTAAATTAATTAATTAAAATTTATTTTTTAAATTTTATTATCTTTTTATTTTTAATACCCGAGGGAAATAAAGGAATTTTCGATTATCTCCCACCATTTTCCTTTTTACCGAATTTGATCGGCTATAATTTTTTATGCTTGATCTAATCCGAATGAAACTCATATCATTCAAAAGCCCTCAATAAGCACTATCTTTTACCCAACTGGATGGATCAAGTCTGATCACTCACGAAAAAGTTACAAGTCGATAATTGTGAAAAACAACGATTTTTTGAATCAACTTCGGAAAAGGGAAATGGGAGATAACCAAAAAGTACCGAAATTAAATAACAAGAATTTAATTTAACTGAACATTTTAATATTTATTTGGGAATACATATTTTTATTAGGAAATCCACTAATTAATTTTATTAAAAAGAAACTTTTAAAAATAAAATATTTTTTTAATTCAAAATTTACCATTTCCATTAATATTAATTTCTCTCTTACTAATTCTTTTTCTAGTTTTTAACATTTTTTCTGCCATATTTTTAACAATTACTTTTCCATTTTCAAAAGATTTTTGACAATTATTATTTTTATTTTTACATTTTGATTTCATTAAATTTTTTAAAGAAAAAAATAAAAATTTGAGAGATTTAAAAGCCCCAAACTTTTTGGATTTTTTTGCTTGGTTTTCAGCTTTAGAACTTAAAATTATATTTCCTGCTTTTACTTCTTCGTTTATTTCTTTTCCAATACAGTTGTTATCTTTAATTTAATTTTTAAAAAATCAAAAAAATATTTGTTAATTAATTTCATTTTTTAGCTCAAAATATTTTAAAAATTCTAAAATTAATAAAAGGACGGCCGAAATCTATTTAATTTACTAAATTATAAATTCTATTTTGACTTTTTTTGTTCTAAAAGAAAAAAAGGAAATAAATATATTGAAGGGGAAAGAGATTAAATTAATTAAGATATTATTTAGCGTCATTTTTAAATTACCCTTGAGGTTAAAAATATTTATAATGAGGAGAACCTTAAATTGGGGGCATCACTAAGGCAGTCCCTCTTTAACCCAATGGTCTACCAAATTTTAAAAAATATCCTAAAAATTGGGGAATATCTAATTTTGGTGGTATAGGAGGGGGGGTTGACTGTTGTATAAAAAATATAAAAATTAATTTATTAAAAACCATTTAAATCGCAAATTGTCAAGTCTTTTTTAAAATTTTTTGTTTTTATTTTTGGGATTGTTGTTTTCTTTTTAACAAATACTGATGGAAAAATTGAAGAGAATTTTAAGGATTTTGTATTTTCAACAAAAATAATTAAAAAAAGGAATAATAAAATAATAACAAAAGATATCCGGCAATATCTTTTAAAGAAGTTCATTCAAAATTTAATTTTCTCTAAAAATTCCAAAAAAAAATTTGTTTCGAAATTTTATTTGGAAATTCTTTAAAATGTGTGAAAAAATAATTAATAAAGAGTCAATCTTTATTGGCAATTTGTCGGTTAAATGAAGGAAGAAAGAGAGAGTTAAAAGGGAAATTGTTGTTAATATTAATTTATTGAATTATAGTGCAAATTAATTGATAGCCAAAAAACATGGCTAAAAATGACAAATCTTTTTTAATTAAATTATAGAAATATTTAAAAAAAATTGCTTGAAATAAAATTAAATTGAATTTTGTAGAGGAGAAGTTTTTTTAAATAAAATGCACTTTAAATTTTTTTAAATTTGATTTTTTTAAAAGTGAGAAAAACTCCAAACAGAAAAAATAGAAAGAGATCGAGAGAAAAATATTTAGTATTGTTTATGTGTTTATTTTTAAGCTTAAACAGATGTTCAAATAAAAAATTATTAAATTTATGATATACTGGATATACTCCCAATTTTTTTGTTTTAAACTTTAAAGTTCTTTAAGCTAAAAATTATTATTTTTTATTTTAAACTTTTCTTTTAATTTTTCATTTTTTGAATGTTCCTTCAATAAATACAGACTTCCTTATTTTAATAAAAATTTGTATTCAAACGGCTGATTCTGAATTCCCTACTCTGAAACGTCCTTTACCCTTTTAACCTCAATAATTTTTTAATTTTTTTTTATTCGAGGTTTTCGCTTATAAAGTAGGGATATTCGAATATAACTTGCATAATTATCTAAATATTTTTTTAGAAAACTTTTATTTATTTTTAGTTAACAATCTCATTTTAACATTTTCTATTCATTCATTAACTACCATGCCAGTTGTTAATGTTTATTCTACTTCAGTGACTTCGGAGAATGTATCACGTTTTGAACTTCTTGCCTGGGTTAATAATTCTCTTCAGGTTGCTTTTATCTTATTTTCATTTTAATTTTATTTTTTTTATTTTTTTAGTCTAATTTAACAAAAATAGAAGAAATGGCGACGGGGGCTGCCTATTGCCAACTTACTGATTTACTCTTTCCGACGCGTGTACCGCTTAAGAAAGTTTGTTTATTTTACAATTTTTTATTAAATATTTTTAGGTTAAATGGAATAGCCGGCAAGAAGTTGATTGGATGAATAATTGGCGAGTTTTGCAACATTCCTGGAAGGATATTGGAATTGACAGGGTTTTAAATAATTTTTATTTAAATTAGTAAAGAGACGATAGTCGTCTCGATTGTCTCCCATTTTCGACTCGTTTATACTTGGAGTTTTTTGTTACCTTCGATCAGGCCCGTAGCCAGGATTTTTTTTCGGGGGGGGGGGGGGGGGGAATTTTTTGCGCCAAATTTTTGGCGCCGAAGGCGCCAAAAATTTTTATTTTCAGCGCCGCAGGCGAAAATTTTTTGAATTTTAGAAGGTCGTAGGCCAAAAAAATTCACTCTTTCGGCGCCGCAGACGCCAAAATTTTGATTTTCAGCGCCGCAGGCAAAAATTTTTTAAATTTCAGAGGCCGTAGGCCGAAAAAATTCACTTTTTTTGCCCCAGCCCTTCCCCAAATTTTTTCTTTTTCCCATTTCGGGGGGGGGGGGGGGGGAATTCCCCCCCTCACCCCCCCCCCTGGCTACGGGCCTGCCTTCGATTATATAACTGTTTAGGGTAACACGGTAGCTTGGTTTTTTATTCTGTGGAGCCCAAGATAACAGCCCAGTTATTTTAATTGCCGAATCTAACCTTATCCAAAATTACCCGCTATAACAAATTAAATTGAAAAATGGTGGAAATGAGCAAAAATTATTTTTACTATATTTTTAGCCAATTCCTGTCCAAAGTTTGATGCGTGCCAAGTTTCAGGACAATTTTGAGTTTCTTCAGTGGTTCAAAAAGTTTTTCGACGCAAACTTTGACGGGCATGAGTATGACGCGGCTGCAGCACGGAATAATGAGGTTGGGATAAATCTGTGTTTACCTATGACAAAATAAAATTTAGGAATTTCCTGCGGCCTTGCCTGGCGGTGCCACTAAGAAAGCACCTCCGGCTGTTGGTAATTCAACTGCTGCAGCTACCAGGCGTTCAACAGCGCAAGGGCCAACATCTCGACCTGTTAGTGTACCAAAGCCAGGTTTTCTTAAATTATCTTTTGTTCTATTTATGTTAAAGATGCTCGGGATACCAGGCGTTCCTTAAATGTTAGTGCAAGAGCAGTACCGGCGGCAGCGCCAAAAGCTGTGGCGAACACTCGTGCACCTCCATCTGCAGCAACAACAACTGCTTCAGCAGCAGCTAAGCGTCGTCCTCCAATTGTTCATTCTCCTCAAAAGAATGGTGTAACTGTTCGGAATGGACAACAGACATTGCGTACATCAGGACGTAAAAGTACTGCTCCTTCATCTACTGGAAATCGTAGTGGAATTGGGACTGCTGAAATTACTCTTATTGAACAACAGGTAAATATTGGATCGTTTAATTTTTCGGATTAGAATAAATCCGTCGAATTTCTTTAATTAGAAATGCTTTTTATCATTTTAGAAAAAAGAATTGCAATCTCAAATTGATGAGATTACCAAAAATTCTTTAATCTACGAACGTGAACGTAATTTCTATTTTGGAAAATTACGCAAGATTGAATGTCTCTGTAATGACAATGCAACAAATGGAGTATTTTCATCTTTAATTGAACAAATACAAAAAATAATTCAAAACAAAAATGAAAATGAAGAGGTTTTTTTTTAATTTAAAAATTATTAAAATATTCCTTTTCTAAAGGAGCAACAACCATTAAATGGAGATACTTTTACTAAAGATGAGACTTTTACTGCAAAACCAAAAGAAATTGATGCCAATCAATTTCCTATTGTTTTTGATGATAGTGGAAGTTTTGGGAATCCTGACAATATTTTGGATATTGGTTTGGGTTTTTTAAAAAAAATTATTTTTTAAATTATTTTTATTTAGCTATGAATGTTACTAAAGACGAGACAAACAATGAAATAAATTCTACTCAAATAATAATTCCGTCTGTTCAACAACAGCCATTAATTGAGCCAGAATTTGAAAAAGAACAACAACACCAATCTGCTATGGGAGACTATAGTATTGAGGGAATTCCGGGAAATAATACTTATAATATTGATGAAGGAATGGAAGGATTAGATGCTATTAAATTGCCACATTCTGTAAATATATAATTTATTTTTAAAAATAAATAAAATAATTCTTTTAAAAAAGATAATCTCTGAACAAGAACTTCAAAATGCTGAACGTTCAATGGAAGCTGCTGGAAATAAAGTTCGGGAAGAATTAAACACTGAAGTTGGGATTAACAATAATGGTGGTGTGGAGAGTGATGATTTGGTTAAAAATACTAAATGAATTAAAGTATTTTTTTTGAATTTAAAAGGGCTTAAAGTATGTTTTTTGGTACTTTATTATGTTACTTTTCTCTAAAATTTTATAAAAAAAATTAAATAAATTTGGAATAAATTACAGAATTATTTAAAATTTAATTTTGGTGATTTTAAAAAAATTTTAGAGAGGAAGTAGCATATCTAAAAAAGTACCGATTTTTTAAAATCTTAGCCTATATCTTTAAATAACAAAAAGCTCATTATTTGGCATTATAATGTATTCTTTTCTTTACTATATAACAATTCCAAAGAAAATAGAGAATTTTTTTTTGTAATTTTTTGAAGACATTCAAATATTTTGAAGTAATGCATTTATTTTCTTTGGATTTTTTTGGTATTTGGGTAACGATTTTTTTACTATATATCAAAATAAATTTGAAGACAATTTAAATTCTCTTTTGTTTTATTTTAAATGAATAAATTTTACAAAATAATTAAGTAAAAAGATATAGGAATTTAAATTTTTACGAGTCATTTTTGGTATCCATTAATTTCTTTTCCAAAATACGCATTAAAGCCAAACATTTTTCATCCTCAAAAGGTAACCCAACGATCTGAATATTAACAGGCAAGCCGACAGAATTTGCTGCTGCGTAACGAATTCTTTTTAGGATAGGATTCCAATCTTTAAAATAAAAATAATTTTTGATTGATTTTCATCATCTTTAAACCTGTTGCCCATTGAGTTTCGTCTGCAAGTGCTTTATCATCTTCAGATGTTACTTTGTCAACGGGCAAACAACCAACAGGATAATCAAGCATCTGAAAACATGTTATCAAAAAATTTAATACAAAAAATACATTATATAAGCCAGTTTCGAATGCCGCAGCAGCAAGATCACTGCATGCATCATAAGGAATTGCAGGAAAAGAAAAAGCAGGAACAATCAGCAAATCTAAATTTGAAGCCAGCCATTGTTCAGTGAACTTTAAGAAAAAATATTTTTAGATTAAAAAAATAAAAACCTTTTGGACATATTCGTCAAGTTGTTCTTGCGATTGACGGACATCATTTGGAGTACGAACATAAGCACGCATAAGAATTGCCAATTGAGGACAGAAAATGTCAAAAATAAAAGCAAGTAACCATCGAACACAAAGAGGTATCTAAAAAAAGAAAATCCTTTTTAAAAAGGGACTAAATACCTTTAACATAAAAGCAAATCTTTTTAAATATTTGTCAACTGGATTTTCAGAAAATGTTTTCTTAAGAAAAGCACCACCATCACAAGCGATATTTTTAAACAAAAGACTGGCTAAAAAGAATATTTTTTAGAAAATTAAAAAATATTTTACCAGCTTTTTCTGGTTCAGGAATGGGGAAATAAACCATTTCTTGTCCCGAAGATCGCAAAATCTCAACACAACGCTCAACAACACGCGCACAACTAAATTAATTTTAATTAAATAACTAATTTTTTTATTTACGCGGGGACAGGTTTAATAAATCCATCATCAAAATTATAACCAATCCGCAATTGTTTAGCTTCCCAACGTCGCTCAAATTCTTCCATTTTTTGCAAATTTAGAGGAAGAGGAATACTTTCAGGCACAAGTTTATGATATTCTACATTGCCAAGTATATGGGTAAGCAAAAATGTTAACTTTAAAAAAAATAATTAAAAAATAATAAAAATAAAGAATACCTCCTCTGCTGTATGTGCAAAAACTCCAGTTCCCAATCCTAATCGTCCAATACCAGGCAAACCTTGAAATGCTTGTTGAATTTGGAAACGAGCTTGGCAAGGCTTTAAAGTAGTAACTCCACAAAAATGGGCAGGAATACGCAAAGAACCGCCTACATCACCACCAGTTGCAAATGCTGTGCCTCGGGCAGCTAGGAGTGCAGCTTCACCTCCAGAGGAGCCTCCTGGAGTTCTGAAAATTTAAATAATGAGAATATTATTGAGAGATGCTTAATATTCAATAACAAAAAAAAATAGGAATCCCTATTCCTACCTTAAAGCATTATAAGGATTCTTAGTAGTCCCATAAACAGGATTTGAGCAAGCAAAACTAATTAAAGTCTGTGGCACATTTGTATAGCAAAATGGAACGGCTCCAAGTTGGCGAAGTAATGTAATAAAAGTACAGTCTTTCGTACGTGGATTGTCTAACAAACGAGCATTTCCAATACAACAATCATAACCTTTAATCTGCGGAGGAATATTTGGATTAATAAATTGTTAATAAAAACAAACAAAAAAATTAGCTTTAACGCTAAATGGAAGACCAAAAAGTGGAGGTTTCTCCTTCTTCTCAAATTCTTTGTCAAGTTTTTTGGCTTCCTCAAAAGATTCAATAAAAAATTCGGCAATACAATTAATTTTCTCATTCACTTCCAATGCATAATATGCAAAGGCATAAAGTGTTTGTGTAGCTGTTAATTCTTCAGTTTGAAGTGCTTCTAAAATTTTATTTTAAAGAGGTTTATTTACCTTTTAATATTCTCACTTTGTAATTCTGTTAATGACATTCCTCTAATTTTTTCTCTTTCACTTGGATCCTGTCCATATTCATCGACATTTCGTTTTGCTTCTTCAAAGCGTTTTTGCCTTTTAATATTTGTTCGTTCAATTGCTGCCCAATTTGCTGATTTACAACAAGGCTTAAATAATTTAAATTAATAGTATATTAAATATATTCTCTTACCAAAATATTTCCCATATCAAAATATTTAAAAAATAATAAAGTCAAAAATAATCTTTAAAAAATAAGAAAATTAATTTATAGTAACAACAACAACAAAAAATAACAACTGATTAGAAACTAATTGGTAAATTTTAAAAGAAAAATAAAAACAATCTTTTTATTTTTCATTTAACAAAAACAATTTTCCCTCTCTTTTAATCAGATAATAAATCATTATCGAATTCTTGTCCATCACTATCATTATCTATATTTTCTTCACTCATTTCAGAATTATCTTCGTCCCCACTTTCATTTAATTCTTCATTCTCGTCAAAATCTGTCCCGCTTTCATCTCCTTCACCTCCATCAGATGAAGGAGCTTCAATTTCTTCATCTTCTTCGTCAATCTCATCATCGCTGCTGAAAAATATAAAAATTTATTTTAAAATACTTTTAAAAAATTAAAAATTTAAGCAAAAAACAAATATTTTTCCGTTAAAAATAAGTTAGATATTTTTAAATTAGTTTGAAAATCAAAAATAAATTAAAAACAAACAAACCATTCTGCCAATTCATTTTCAAAATCATCATCCTCATCAATAATTTTTCCTTTTTTAACACCTTTCTTTTTACGTTTAGAGTTTGTTTCGTCCCCAAATTCATCTCTAAAATCAACATCAAAAACATCTCGAGTATCCCCAGGTTCAAACTTTTCTTAAACAAAGAAAATTAAAAACCTTCTATTAATTTCAAATATTACCTAATAAAAGATCAAATTCGTCGGAGTCTAAACTTGCCATATCATCAAAATCTTCATCTTCTTTTTCATTCTTTCCTTTTTTATTTTCTTCATTTTTAATATTCTTTTTAAATTTTATTGAAGCAAAATGGTGTAGAAAACGTTCATCTAATGGAATTTCACTGCTTGTTTTGTTTAAATAATCCTTAAAATTTGATAAAAATTACTAGAAAAAGGAATATTGAAATAGCTAATGGAAACTCTGAAAATCTTTAAATAAAAAATATACTTGCCAGTAAATGACACAGTAAAATTAGCTTTCCAAATTTAAAATCTCCCAAACCTGTGATGTTGGATTCAATGCTTTTATTCCTCTTGGAACATAAGTATGAGAAAACAAAGGATTCAATTTTTGTTTATTATTTACTTTTTTATTTAAATGTTTTGTTTTTGGATTTTTAAATGCAAATCTATCAAGAAAACGCATTTGTGAAAGATCAATTAAAGGATCGCCTTTGTAGTGAATTGAACCTCCTAAAATATTTAAAAATATTATTTTTTAAACAAAAAAGAACCTTGAATTAAAGTTCTTGCAAAAGAAGCAACTGTTGGATGATAATGCCTGGCTAATGTATATAATTCTGTGTCAAGTGAAAAATCAGCACCAGAAAATAAAGGATTTCGAGCATTTGGATCATAAGCATTTCTTCTTTTTGGTAAATATGGAATATTGTTTTGTTTGTCAGATTTTATATTATTTAATGAAGAAGATGAAGCTTTAAAAATAGCATAAATTTTTTTTATAAAATTCTTGAAAAGATTACGTCGATGAATCCATCCAGAAGTTTTTGAAAGTTTTTTAGAATTTTTTTCTTTTTTAATAACTATATTCAATTCATCACTACTTTCATCTTTTATATCAAAATAAGTTTCTTCTTCTTCCTCATCGTCAGAATTTCCATTTTGTTCAAACCAAATTAATTTTTGTTCTAATGCAGAATTTTCTTTTATATTTTCTTCTTTAATTTTTTCTTCATTTTTAATTGTTTTATTCTAAAAATAGATTATTTCAAATAATTCTTTTTAACAATACCTAACCTCATTTTCTGTTTGATTTTCCAAAGATTCATCCAATCTTAAAAGACTAGGCCTTTCTTGAATAATAACAGAACATGTAAGAAGAGTAGCTGCCGCAAAGGAGGCTGAACTAGCCAAAGCAACCTAAAAACATTTTTTTAAAAATATCCTTAAAAATTAAAATACTTGGAAAAGTCTTTTAATAAAAGCCCTAACACGACATTCAACAAGATCATTTTTAAGTACACGTTGCAGCAAAGAAAAGAATTTTGAATGACTCTGATTGCCAAAACCATCAGGATTTAAAATTCGACGATAAAAAGCACAATAAAAACGATCAGTAATTCCATCACTAAAAATGATTTTTAAAAATATTAATTTAAATAAAAAATTACCTAGCACTGTGAATTTGGAAAAGTAAACGAAGAACGTTAAGTGAAGTTGAAAATTTAGCTGTTTGAACAATTGCATAGAGGCTATCGATATCTTTAAGTAAATCAGAATCCAAACTTTTGCCTAAATTTTAAAAGTTTTTAAATTTTCTACAGAAAATATCTCTTCTATGTATTAAGGCGGGCATAAAAGTAATCAGAAAAATAGAGGTTAGAAGTCGATTATTATTTAAGAAAGAATTTCTTACAAAATTGTTTAAAAAAGTATTTAACGGAAAATAAAATCGAAATAAAAATTTAAATTCCAACCTTTCATGTAAGGAAAGGCCCTATTCAATCCAGTAATTAACAAAGGAAGTAAATGTTCATTAAGTACATCATTAAGTACCAAAATTCGAAAGAATTTTAAATAAATTTGAACAAGACAAGTAGCTATTTCAAATTCTCCAGCGATAATTAAAATTCGGCTTAGAAAATGAAGTCCATAACGCTGGGCTTTTGGTAAAATATTTTTTCTTAAAAAATTTAAAAATTTTTAAAAAAATGCATTTATACCTAAACATAAGTTGTTCAATTTCTTTAATTACAATTAACCGCATATTTGGATGTTTTCTAATTAATTGTTCCAAAAACATTGCTACTTTTGAACCAACTCTGTATAATGGATGTCCCAATTTATTGACAATTGAATTTAACAAAAATTGTTCTTGTTCAGGTCTATCAATTAATAATTCTGTCATTTCTTTACAAGCATTTAAAGCCACACCTTCAACAACATTTCCGGCCAAAATCTAAAAATTAAAAAATATTTTTTAATTTTTTTCAAACAAAAAACCTGTAAACCATCAGCAAATTGTTTGTAACACATTTTTAGTTTTTCTTCAAAAATCCACATAATTAAACGCCTTTCAAGTTCAATTCCACTTTTATCTTCTAATTCTTCCAAAGGTCTCTTAAATTTTTTAAAAATATTTTTAAAGTTTTTTTTTATTTTTTACTTGATTAAATAAAAGTAATTTCCTTCCAGGTGGCAACAATTCATTTACAAAAAGTTCTTTTAAGGCCTCTAAAAATAAAAAAAATATTTTTAAGACATTTAAATCAACTTGTAATTGTATATGCTTGTCTAATGACTGCTCCTTTCTTTCCAATAAGTTCAACAAATTTAATTAAATGTGAAAGAGCATGAACTGGGGAACGTTGAATTCTTAATTGAATTGAAGAAATTTTGTCAGAAAATGCTCCTTTTTGAGAAACTGTATCAATCCATTCGGCATCCCCTCGATTTTTTGATTTGTACCCTTAAAAACTTTTTTAGAATTCTTCAAAAAAAACTCAAAGAAAAATTATTTGGAAGAACAAAAATGTCAAAAATAAATAACAAAAACCCTTACATTGTTCAAAAAGATTGGTATCATGTTCCAATAAAATTTCAGCCTGTTTTTTCAATTTTTGTAACAATTTTTCATCCAATTTATTTTCATTTAGACGACATTCATTAATTTGATAATCATACCTAAAAAAAACCTTTAAAAAGAAAATCTCCTCCAAAAAAACCATTTATTCGATTCTTCATGTTCAATTTTTGGTTTATTTTGTTTAAAATTTTTATTTGAATTTTGTTTATTATTTTTCTTCTTTTTGACTTCATTTGTTGGAGAATCTGAGTAAATATTCGACAATTTCTTTAATTTATTTTTAGCAAATTTTTTTGATTTGTTGAATTTATTTAAATTTTGTAGCTTTTTATTTTTTTGGACTTTAACCATCTAAAAATATTTAAAATAAAATAAATGAGAATAAATAAAAATGAAATTGGTAAAAAACAAAAATTTCAGAATTTTAATAAAAAAATTTTTTTAATTAGACAGAATGCCAATATTTGTTTTTATTTAAATTTTTTTGTTTTTTTTTTCACTGTGATTTTTCTAAAATTTTTATTCTTAACTAATTATTAATTAAAGATGTTTCCTTCTCAATTTTCTCGTTTTTCTCGACCATCTTCATCAATTATTCAATTTATTTTAACAAAAAATTCTTCCTTTAAATTATTTGGAGATTTTGGGAAATATTCAATTTCAACTTCTTCAACTTCATTTTCTATAGCAGAAAGGCTAAAACTTCAAAAGGAATTATCTACTACAAAACCCAAAGAAGAACAATTAAAACAATTTAATGATTTTGTAGAAATTGAAAATAAAATTTTGGCAATGGATATTTTAAAACAATTTAAATTAATTGTGAAATTAAGTAAAGATTTGGACGATAAAATGGTTATTAGATTAATTAAAGTTTGTTTTTTCTTTTTTAAATTATTTTAATTTTTATTTTAAAGAATTTGAGAGGTATTGATGTTTCTTCTTTTTGCCCTTTAAGACTTGAAGATGCAAAATTATTTGTTGGAGCGATTGATAAACTTTTGGGTTCTTTACCTAGTGAATATCCTGATACGCCAAAAATTGTTCATACAGGTTAGGAAAATTTTAAAAAATATATGGATAGAAAGGAGCAGGGTTTTTTGGAATTTTCTGAAAAATAAATTTTATCTAAATTTTTTTTAATTTCTTTAAAAAATAAAAATTATTTTTCCGTCTAAAAATTATCAAAATTTATTAAAAAATTTTGCAGCTTTCGAGTCAACAACTCCTCCAATGTTTTCTAAAAATGTTTACGAGCCACAAATAATTCAAACAAATTTGCGTGTTTTGGAAGCTCGTTTAGTTGATAGCCGAATTGTTGGGCATTTAATTGTTGAATTTAAAAGTGTAGAAACTGTTGGAGAAAATAAAGAAGAAAAGTTTGAATTTACATTTACAGCCCTTCCTTGGCTTAGAAAACAATTAACTTATTTATTGCATAAACATGGGGCTGGAGAATTTAATCAATTAAAAATACCCGAATGGTTTAAACAAAAATCACTTGAATAAATAAATTGTTATATGTAGAGAATTGTTGTGTTTTGTGTATGTTTTCTTTTAGATAAAAATATTATTATTGAGGGATTTTATTTTTGAGGGATTTTAGGGAAAATTTGGAGAAAAAAATTATTTGTTATCTTCTGTAGTAATTCAACATTAATTTGATTATATTAGAAATATTAAGAAATTTTTACAAAAAAATGTGCTGACTTTATTCAAAAATAATATTTGAAAATTTAAAAGTTTTTTAAGAATCTTTTCTTTAATTTTAAAATTATTTTTTTAGTTTTCTAAATCCAATAGTAATAAATATTCAAAAAATTAAAACAATTTTTAAAAATTTCTGTTCAATAACCAAGTGTGATTTTTATTATTTTTTAGTGATCGATTTTTTATTTTTGTATTTTTTGGCAATACAAAAATTAAAAAAAATTAAATTATAATAATTTATTTTAATTTATTTATTCAGTTGTTTAATTAAAAAAAAGTTTTTATTAAGAGAAATTTTTTATTTAAAAATAATTCTCTCTCATTTAATGCTTTTATCTCTTTTTTCTTCCAATCTTTGATTTTAAAATAAATGTCCCTCAACAAAATTTTAATTAAATTTCTTCTTAATTTATTTAAAAATCAATTTAATTTTTCCTTTATTTCAATTTTAATTATTTTAATATTAAATATTGACCTTTGTAATTCCCAATTAGGATTGGTTGCTAAATTAGCACCAAGCGCTTTAGGCAAAAATATTAAATTATTTAAAATAAATATTTTAATTCATTTAAAGGTGGACTAAACAAATTAAATAAAAACAAAAATAATGGTAAATTAATTATAAAAATTATTTAGTGTTGAACAGAAAAATTCTAATCTTTTTAGGTTTTATTTCCCTAAAGGCCCATCAAGGAGTAATTAAAGAGTTTTAAATTAATTTTTGTCTTCCATTCGATTATCCAGAAGATTTTTTCTGTTATTAAAAACCGATCTAAAAATTTCGTGGTTAACAAGAGGACAAAATTCATTTTTAAGGCAGCAGTTTTGATTTTGGATTTTCAAAAGGATCAATTTTACACGAACCCAAACCAAAATCTTTGGTTCGGTTCCTGATCCTAATTTTTAGGAAAAAAGAGAAAAAAGGAAAATGCGGGGAGATAATTGGATTAGTACTGAAAAAATAATAAATTTCTTAATTTATTTAAACATTTTGTTGATCTTATAAAAATAAATTCCAAAAATATTAATTATTTTCTAACACTTTAAAGGATTTGGGAAAGCATTGAAGACTGGATTAGGAGTGGCTAACGGTGTAAATGGTCTCCTCGATGGTAAATTACCTTCAAAAAATGGTCCTGGACAACAACAAAATATGGAAGAGGAACAAGAGGAGAATATGGGGGGAAATATGATAAAGAAAGGATTAAATTCTGCTAAACAAATGTTTAATAAAAATGGAAATGAAAATGGTAAAAAAATGAATAAATGGATGAATTTTAAAATATTTTGGATTTTATTAAGATGAAAATAGTTAAGACATTATAGGAAATTAAATAGGGAAAGCTAATGTGATTTTACAAAAGAATAAAAAAAAGAAATTTCACACTCATTTGTCAGATAATTTTATTTGTTCAAAACTGGCCATAAGTTTATATTTTCAAATTAGGTGTGAGCAAAGATGTTTAAAATAATATTTCTCATTTTATGGGATTTTAATTTAAAAAATTACAAAAAATATTTTTTAATAAATTTTATATTTTGGCAGATGACGACGAACAAGGAGAAGGAGATGAGGAAGAGGTATTTAGTAAATAATTTAAAGGAAAAACATCGGTTGAATGATTTTAATTTGAAAAATTTTAAATAATTTTAAAATAATAATTTTTAGGAGACAGAAAATGAGGAGGAAGAGGAGGAGGGCCAAGAACCTGAACGGAAAAAGCAAAGGAGACATAAAAAGTGAATTTATTTATATTTTTGTTTAAAAAATAATCTTTTAATAAAGAAGAAAAGAGAATGAAGAAGTTGAAGAGGAGGATGAAGATGATGAAGGTGAAGAAGAAGAGGAGGAGGAGGATGAAGGAACATTGCAAGATGAAGAAAGGGGAAAAAGTGGGAAGAGAAGAAGAAAAAGTAAAAGGAAGAGGGAGGAGGAAGAAGATGAAGAGGAGGGGGATGAAGAAGAAGAGGATGATGAGACGGTGAAGAAGAGTAGAAAGAGGAAGCATAAAGAGGATAATGATGTTGAAGAAGAGGATGAAGATGACGAGCAAGTGTTGGAAGATGAAAAACCCGGTAAAAGAAAAAAACATAAAAAGAAGAAACACAAACATAATGAAGGTTGGAAGATTTAAAAAAAATTTTTAATTTAAAATTCTTAAAGACCATCACCCCCACCACCACCACCACCCTCACCACCATCATCATCAACATCATGTAGATCATCATAAACATACAGGTATTTTTGAGATAAATATCAGGCAATTATATTTAATGAAATATGGAAAATTTTAGGGGAAGTATTCTATTAATAGTTAAACAAATTAATATTTTTTAATTTAAAAAGGTAAAAAGAGGAAACGAACAGATATTAAAGAAGAAGAAGAAAAAAACTTTATAACAAAACTTTCTGATAAAGACAAAGAAATATTTAACGATTGTAAATTAGCAGATTCTGAAGGATTTTTTAATCCTGGAAAACACCCAGAATATGCGAGATGGTTGCAAGGAAAATGCACAGATTATATTTTATTTAAAGGAACGAAAAAATAAATTAAATTTAATTAAATATATTCTTTATTAATTATTAACAAATAATTAAAATTTATTTAAAAATATTTTTTGTTGTCAGTCAATTTTTCTTTTCTTCCATTTTTTTCTTTTAAAATTTTATCTTTTCAAGAAGTCAATAATTCTTTCAAAATCCCTTTAGGGAATACAAAATAAAGCATTAGAAGATGGCAAAAGTAACAGACAGATTTTGGCTTTTTCCTTCTTTTTTTCCTTTCAGGCTGGCAAATGGATTTACTTTTTTTAGTGACTTGTCCAAAAAAACTTTTTCTTTTTCCTTATTTATTTATCAATAAAATATTAGTATACATATATTTTTGTTTGTTTTGCTTAATTTAACAAAAAATAGCGAAAATACATAATTTTTATTTAATTAATTTTTAAAAGAAATTTCCTTTATTTAATAAAAAATAATTCGAAATTTTAATTTAAAATGATTAAAATTTAAATAAAAATATAAGTAATTATTTGGGCTTCACAAAATTGAAATTTTATTTATATTTTTTAAATTTTCTCAGAGAGAATGCCATTACTTTTCCATCAAAAGTGCTACTTATATTTAGCAGCATTTTTTATTAAATTTATTTTAATTAAAAAAGTCATTCATTCACAACCATTAGTGCCTTTACTTGATTCTTTAACTAAATCTAATGCTTTTCCTCCAACAATTAATGGAGGGAAATATTCGAAATTGAGGTTAATTAATTAATTAACAAATCTTTTTTTCTACAAATTTTTTATAAACTTTAAATTCCTTTTTCGGGAAAACAAACAAAAAATATCAATATATGTATGTATATCTTTTAAAATTTAAAGAAGATCCCCAACATCTAGTAATTCTTCTTCTGCTTTAATGACTACAATAGTTCCTTCATTTGTTACTTTCCCCGATTATTGTGCTAATGATACTGATGTTATAGGTTTGGAAAATGAAAAAGAAGTTTTCAAATTTAAATTAGATCACATTCTTTACGACACAACAGTTCATTATAATCGGCACAAAATCCCTTCCGACCCAGTTACTGTACGTATTGAACTTTGGATACAGGAAGTAACTTCTGTTAGTGAATTGACACAAGATTTTGAAATTGGTAGTAGAAATGGGAAGAAAATTATTTTTTAATTTTTCTAAAAATTAAGATTTATATGTAAATGAATTTTGGGAAGATCCAGCATTATCTTACGATTATTTACGTCCTTGTAAAGGAAATTTAAGTTTTGATTATACTTTTTTAGATTCTATATGGTTAATTTAGATATTCTTTAAAAAATAAAGAATTATTTTAAAGGATACCAAATACTTGCTTTATTAATTCAAAAAGTGCTCAAATACACAGTTCTCCTTTTAGAAATGTAAATTAAATAAATATTTAATTTAAATATTATTTATTTTAGGTATTTTTGATGATTTTCCCGAATGGTAAAAAATAAAATTATTTATTAAAAATTTTATTTTTAAATTCCTCTTTCTCTGTACATAATAACAAAATCCAAGGATTTTTATTTATTTTAATTTAATTAATTCAAAAATTGAAATATTTATAAGAGAAAGGGATGAGAATATTTATTGGAATTTAAATAATTAAACAAAATTAATTAGGCTCTATTTGGTCTTGTTGGAGAATAAAATCAACAGGTCCTTGTATAATGGATTTACATAAAGTAGTTATTTATTTTTAATAATTTTTAATTTTTATATTTTTTTAAAAAGTTTCCAATGGATTCAATTAATTGTTTATTAACTTTTGAATCTTATAATTACAATAGAAATGAAGTTAGAATGGTTTGGAATAAACCAAAACCTGTACAGATGTTTAAAGATATTGAATTACCTGGTTGAATTTAAATAATTAAAAATACATTTGGACCTTACTTCTAAATATATAGTATACATACATTCTCTTGGGGCAGAAAAGTTGTGGAGATTAGAAGATATAGTTTAGGGGCCCCCATCTAATGGCCAACTAGTTACCCCCCCCCCCTTAATTGCCCCTCCTAGAAATGACGTTTGACCGTACTAAATTATATTTAGATTTTTATATGGTTAATTATTCAATAACAAGTAGAAGGCAAAGATATGCTGCAGGTGTTTGGGATGAATTAACAGTTTCTTTCCAATTTCAAAGACGTTATGGTTGGTATTTACTTCAAGGTAATTTAATTTTTTAATTAAAAAATCTTTAATTTCAGGTTTCTATCCAACTTTTCTTTTCATTTTTATTAGTTGGATACCCTTTTATCTCGGCCCAAAGGTTTGTTCTAATAAAGATTATCTTTATAGTAGGAAACAAAAGGTTTAACTTCTCTCATATTCCCAATATAATGGACACACCAAATAATCCCTTTTTTATTTAGCACAATTCCTCTACTATTTTTTAAATATATTTTTTAATTTTATTTAATATTTAAAGGCAATCCCTGCAAGAACAATGATTGGAGTTGTAAGTTTAGAAAAAAAATATTTTCAATTAAATTAATTTAAAAATCCCAGAATATTTTGTTGGCAATGATATTTCAATTTGGTTCAATTATTCGTAATTTACCCAGAGTTAGCTATATTAAAGCTATTGATTTGTGGATTCTTTGCGGGTAAATTTCAATTAAAAAATATTATCTTTTAATTAAAAAAAGAATGACTTTTATTTTTGCGACGCTTGTTGAATTAGCAGCAATTGGATTTAAAATGAGAAAGGAGGATGGTGGAAGTATTAAAAGATTTAAGAATTTAAATAATAGACAAAATAGAGTTTATTAAATTTTTAAAATTAATTTTCTTTGATTTTTTAAAATAGAAAACAGATGTAATTGTTAGTTGTGAACGTTTAGACAAATTTTCAAGAATGGCATTTCCTGGTAGTTTTTTATTAAAAAAATTTTTTAAACAAAAAATACATATTTTAAGCAATCTACGCATTGTTCAATGCATTTTATTGGACTTATTATATGTTAATTGCATAAGATTAAAAGATGAGATTAATAGTATTCACTGTTTATGTACATATCAAAATTTAAACTTTGCCTTAATTTATTAATTGTTTTTAAATAAGAATAAATAATTTTAATAATATTTAATTAAAAAATAAAACATTCGCGAGTATCCGGTTACTTTATATGCATTTATTTGGTTAATCAAATCTCAATTTTTAAAACAAATTTACGATCCAATAAGAATTTTGATAACAAACGAAATTTCAGTCTTGGACATAGTTGCAATAATTAAAATATCAAAAGTTTGAAAGAATTCGCAGTGAAACAACAATGAAAAGCATATCAGCCACTTTATATACCCGTCATTACCTCGAAATCTCACCTCTAAAATTCTTGTAAAAATGTTTGTTCATTTAAATATATTTTTGACGCGTTCATTTGGCATTCTGTTTTTCTTTTATTTCACTAACATTTTCTTTATTCTCTATTGTTTGATTTTTTCTTTGTTGCAGAATTTCCGTTTCTTTTTAATTTTCAGTATATCCAAATAATCTTTAATGGTTCCTCACCCTTTTTCCAGTTTCCTTCTCTTTTTATTTAATAAACATCAAGGATCTCAAAGTTTTGCTTCTCTTCCACTTGAAATTGTCTTTCAAATTTTTGATTTCAGTTCACGTAAGTTTTAATATAATTTTAATTAATCTTTTCTTATATTCTAGCCAAGGATCTTGCAAATATTTGTGTTCTCAATCGTCTTCATTTTAACAGAGTGTCGGCATATTTAAATTCTGAGCGATTTGTTGTTCGGTTCCGAAAGATTTTTTCTTCAGCAGCCAAGGAGTCCAATTCTGATTTTCCTCCAAATGATTTTGGTAGGTATTTTAAATTGTTGATGGCTCCTTTCCTTCTTGTATTCTAAATACGTTGTTGGGGTACTTTTGTATTTATGGGAACTTGAGGATGAATTAACTTGCAATTAAATTTTGTACTTTTGCAGCTCGTTTGATCCGGTTATGCTGTTTATTGAGAGGAAAGGCTCCTAATGCTATTAGTTGTTCAAATTTTATTATTCAACTCTATCAAAAAATTGATTCCTACGACAAAGATTATTGGGGTAAATTGATAACGAAGGTTAGATTTTTTAAATTTAAGTTTTAATTTATTAAAACTAGATTTCTTTTGATTGGTCTCAATCGCATTTTATTTCTTTTATGATTATGTTTGCCGAGTCTACCGGTCTATTAACTCGAGTTCGCAATTTCTTCAGGTCCAAGAAAAATAATGAAGTTGAAGAAATGGCTTTGCGGCGAGCAATTTTGGCGCTTTTTTTAAATGATTGTTCATTTTCAACCAATGATAATTCCTCTAACGTTATTCAACAAGTTGGTTTCCGCCTTTCGGCTATTCTTCATTTATTTGGGGAAAATGGTGAACACAAATATCGTTTAATGCTTATGTTGGCCGCTCCAACAAGTACACGCTTGGATCAAGAGAATGATGGAAAGTTACAACCAATGGGTATGTTTGACTTAAAATAAATTTTGATATTTGCTGCTAGACCCGTAGCAACAGGTGCTGAACTTTAATTGGCTTACTTCTTTTTAAGTCAGTTTTATTTTTTGTTTTTAGAATTTGTTAATTATCAACGAATTGTTGCTGACCCAATATTTGATCGACAAAGTGCCCAAACCTACCTAGGCGAGTTACCTCAACTTGTAGAACAGCTTCTATTTACAAAGTCACTGGATATGAAGGAATTGCGTTGGAATGAATTGGAATTGTTTAATTTTCTGGAATTATTGACTAGTTTATTTATTTTAATATTTTTGATTTCAAATTTATTTTTAAAGCTTATCCGGAGCCTTGGGTTTTACGAAATTTTGCTTCATTGCTTATTTTGGCACCTGGCCTTGCAAAAATCGCCATCTGCATTCGAGCATTACATGGGGATCCTGCAGAGGCTGGAAATACTTTGTTTAGTTGTATTGAGGTTTTCTTTTGACGTTTTTAATTAAATTTGTAAAAATATTTTTAGGCCTGTATTTTGTTGGGTTTTAATACAAATGTTACTCTTAAAGACACTCTTTTTGCATTAACAACAAAATGTTCACCTTCTACTTGTCTGACTGTATTGAGAGAGGCTATTTCTACAACAAATAATTTGACAATTGAAACATTTGGAGGGCATTTGGGAGGAGCAGAAAACGGGCCATTTAATTGTTTGTTAAAATAATTTTTTAAATATTTTTTTATAATTATTTTTAAAGTAGACGAAATGGACTTTTTCAATTTAAAAAATGCATTAGAAGCTAATCGTCAAATTGCCGAATTATTTCTCACACATCTTCATCAAATTATTTGAGATAAAAGGAATTAATTTTAATTTATTTTTCTGTGAAGTTTTGTTATATTTTGCTCATTTTACAAAATTATCTTTCATTCTAATAATTCTCTAATCTCCCTATATAATGTTTTCCTCTAATTTATTCTGTGAATTTAATATAATAAATAAATATAGCTAGAAAGTTTTTTTGGAAACAATTAAAAATAAAAAGTAAAAATATTTTCTAGTTAGTATATTCTAATCTCCTTTCCTCACATTTACTTAATTTTTGTCTTTGTCATCTTGTCAATGATACTCTCTAAATTATTCACTTATTGTTAATAATACATATTTTAATTGCCATATTTTGTCTAATTTAATTAATTTTAAATAAAAAATATACACAATTTATTTTTGTTGCTAGACTTTTTGTTCATTTTTACAAATAATATTTTTTATTTTTTTAAATTTAAATTATTTTAATAAATTACAGCAAATTTAAGCATTGTTGAATTTATGGACGATCGTCAAAAACTTGCATTTATTGAGGCATATTTCAGTGCTGGCTGGACAAGTTTTATTTTTCTTAAATACTTTTAAAAATAATTTTCTCTTTTTCTAGATCGTCTTGAATTAATTCTTCCAACTGCCCCAACATCTATTCCTTTAGATCAATTTATTAATAGTCTGCCAAAGAATGTCATTAATCAACAAGTAAATAAAGGCAAATCAACAGAACCTACACACCACCAGCAACGACAACAAAATAATCAGAATACTACTCAAAATAACCATCAAACTTCAATTCAGTCTCAACAACAGTCTTCTGCTAATGTGCAAATTACCACACAAATAAATGAAAAGGTCTGAATTTTAATTATTTTATGGTTCTTTTTCATAATTTTTTAAATTTCTTATGGTCTAAAGGAAGCCGGTTATGGAAGAATAAGCTAACGTCTTTACCAAAGCCGTTTAATCCTGAATTAACTAGCCGTTTAATTAATTTAATTAACCAAATAAATTTTAAATCATCATATTAACTAGGGTTGGACACACCCGATTATTAACTGTTACCCCATTGATTTTGGTTCCGGTTTGGTTAACCGTTTGTGTCCAATCCTAATATTAACTTTTATTTTCTTTTTAATTTCACTCTCATCCTTTGATTGACATGAAAGGGAAAGATTAATTTTAAGACTAAAATGAGAGTATGTAAATGTACCAAAAATTAAAAAAAACTATCTTTTATCTTTCAGTACAAAACTACACTTTGCAATTCCTTCGTTCATTTTGGAGAATGTAAGTATGGAGGTTCTTGTCTTTTTGCTCACGGGCATAGCGAATTAAGACTTATGCCTAAATTCTCCGAAAATGGAATTAAAATTGGTAGTGGAGACTGTTGTGGAAATAAATTCAAAAGACGGCAAAGTGAAGATTTTGGGCATCATGGAGGGAGACACAATGCAAATTATCGAACATCTGTCCGCAAAATGTGAGAATATTTAAATAAAAATGGAAAAATATATTTTACTTTGAATTCTATGTGAATTGTGGAAATCTGTTTGTTTTTAAAAAAAGTTTTAGTATTTTTGTTTTCCTGAATAAAATTTTGGAAAATTTTATTATCTATACATAAAAACACTGTAGAATCTATTTAATTTAAGAGGCATTAATCACATCAAATATTAGGATTAAGAACACGAGCCCTAGTTTTCTCTAGACAATTTTAAAATATTTACGGACTGACTGACGTGAGACAACAGAAAATATTTCTTTTATTCGGTACTCAAATAGTACAATAATTACACAATAATTACTTATACATATATTAAGTAACAATTATTTAGTTTCATTTTTATTTTGATTACTTTTCAAATTATACCAATCAAGTTGATCAAGTATTGGTTTAGGACTACGACGAGAACGTTGAGTCCACTAAAATAATTTTAAAAATAATGAAATATATTTCAAAACAAACATCTAATTCTCCTTCAAAACTCAACACTTCTTTATGAAAAAATAAAATAAAGCTGAGAAAAAATATAAAAATTTGGATAATCTTAACCATTTTTAAAATTTTTTGTGAAAATAAATTTTAATAAATTGGAAATTCTTTTTTAACACTTTTTTATATTTTAAATTTATACATAATTGTAAGTTAAAAATTCAACACCGTTTTATGAATTTTTTAAATAAAATTAAAATATTCAACTAAGGGATCAAAAATCATTCAGCAAAATTTTTGTAAAAAAATTTATTTTGTATGTTAAGAGATAGTATATTTTATCTAAAAAATTTATTTTTACTCATGTTAATAATTCAAAATCTAACTGTTTATGTAAACTCATTCTGACACTTTTATCCATGAATATGGAGTGAAAGGATTTTTAAATGTTAAAAATTGAATTTTTTGTAATACTTTTAAAAATCAAAATTCTATTTTTTCAATCTTACATTAAAAAATATTTAATGGCTTTTAAAATGCATGTTTAGAATTATTATTTTTTAAAATATTCTAAATATCTAAACTATCCTCACAAGGTCACTAAAAATAAAGTAGGCAATACATCCGATTTACAAAATAGGTTAGTTTATTTTCAGAAGCAGAAAGAAAAAAACAAATTTAGACAAGTTTACAATAATATACAGAGAAAATATCCATTATATATACAGAAAATATCCTAAATTTACATCTTCAAGTACTTTCTTCTTCTTTATATTTATTCCTGTGAACTAGCATTCGAACGACGGGCTCTTTGCAACAATGGCTGAATCTGAGCCTTTATCATCGCGTGCAGAAGTTTATATTCGTCTGAACTACCAACAGTTCCCCAACGTTGATCCATAACAATCCTTGCCGTCTCTTTGAGTCCAACCTTTAAAAAATTTAAAAATAATTTTTAAGATATTAATTAATTTATTTACTCGTTCATGAGTTGCCGCACGATCCATGACAATATCGAAAACCGCAAAATTTCCATTTTTGGTTATACCATCACCGCATACAAGCAAAACTTTTCTCTTCAAATGTGTTTTGCCTTTTTTACGGGTGAAGATATTTTCGGCCAGTTCCAACAACTTAAAATAAGAAAAGAGAAACTTTAAATACTTTAATGTTTAAAATTCACCTCACTCCGAAGAAGAGGGAAGTATGCAGGCACAGGGGAATCATCATCAATCATTTGATAGACAGCTGGTTTGATTACATGGTCGTTTTTGCAGTCGGTGACCGTAAAGGTGAAGTGGGTGAAGGCAGAATCGGGAGCCTTAAAAAAATTTTAAAAAGTTTATTTTTTGCATAATTTGTTTACTTCAGACGTCACTCCTTCATTTTGCACTTTAATCCAACGAGCTCCATCCTTTTCGAATTCATATTTGCAACTCTTACTCGGCCAGAATCGTTTGTAGAAGGCAGTCGGGTTATTCACCTCATTCATTAGAACAATAGCATATGGACGAGCTTCGATCACCATACGCCAAAAGTCACGACAAGTATCCTCATCATGCGGCCCAGTTGCAAGAAGGTAGGCTCCTGAAAATCAATTTTTATATCAAAGTTAAAGAATGATCAACAAACTTGGAGTTCTTATCCCATCTACCCAATTTGCGTGGAAGAATTTGGTTGGGTCATTTTTGTATTGGAAACGAGTGCTGTCGTAGCAAGCAATGGCTGGATAGCGGTTCTGGCCGGGTTGGCATTGGAGGTAGGTATCGATCGAAGGCCTGTCACTTGTGAGTCGACGATGAGCATCGAGAACTGTCTGCAAGAAAATGAAAAAAAAAAGACATGATAGGTTAAAAACAAGATTGCTCACCTTTGTAGCTTCATTACGATCTTGCTCAGAAGCAATATCATCATGAAGAGAGAATCGTCCATCACCCTCCCCTCTTGCTTTGCTGGAACTCATCGTTGAAGAAATAAACGTGAGTAGATCGTCCGGCCAGTGAATTCGCAGTAATGAGTGGATTCTAAAGTTATCCATTCTCTGAAGCTTTTATATGACAAAAAAATTCTGATTAGAATTTAATAATTAAATGATTTTACTCCTTCCTAATGAATGTATGATGGATTCTTCCATAAATTTCACCATTATTTCTTGTAATTTTTAAATAATACATATTCCGGGTAGAAGACAATTGATCCCGACAGTTGAGTCCTCGACTTAAATTTCAATCCGTAACTTTGTGTCCCATTCTTTAAAATTAATTATATCATCTGAAAGCTTAGATAATTTTTTCTTTCAATAGTTAATTGTTCTTGTTCGAAATATTCTTTTTTACTTTAGCATTATAGTTATTTAATGTAAAAAATTTGAAATTTGTTTGACATATTTTCCATACTTTCTTTTTTGAATCATACTTTCATCTTTAATTTAATTCAATTTAATATTTTTAGAATAATCTTTTTAAAGATTAAAAGATGCAACTTAGTACACCTTCTAATTTACAACCACTTGAAGCTCCTGTTCCACCTGAATTGTTGGCACAATTAGAAATACTCGAGTAAATTTTAATTATTTTTTATTTTTGAATTTTTTTTCAGAAAAACTTTAAAAGAAAATAAACAAATTTATTCTGAATTAAAAAATGAAAATCCTTCGAATGAAATGACTTCACTTGAATCTAAAGTAACTGGGCTTGGACGTCTAATTAGTCAATATAAAGGATTTTTGAAGGAAGAAAAATTAAAAAATTCTGGTTTAAATTTTTTTAAATTAAATTCTTTTTTTAAAGTTTTGTCAGAAAAGATTAATTTGGATCAAAAAATTTCTCAAAATATTCAAAAAAGTAGAGACCAACAAACAAAAAGAGGACATTCTATCGATTATTTACATGAAGTTGCTTCTTTAAATGAAAGGCAACTTGAAGATCTTTGGGGATCTGTTCAGAAATTGAGTAAAACTTTGGAACGTTTAAAATCTGATGATTCGGTTGGTTTTTTTTAATAAAAATATTTTTTTGAAATATTGGAAATTTTGAGGATTTTTTCAGAAATTGGGTTTTCTTTCCTCTTTTTAGTTTTTCTATCTTTTTTCAAATTTTTTATTTTTCAAGGATTCCACTTCAATTTCTCGTAGTGAATTATCAGCACATATTCAACGATTTGATCAAATTTTTGAAGCTGTGGCCGGTCAAGTTTATTTAGTTAATGAAGCAACTGAAGTATTAATTTAAAGTGTTTTTTAAAAAATTATTTGTAAAATTATAGAAATTACGTGATTGTTTTATAGAACGAAGGAAAAAAATTTATGGGCAGTTTGAGGCTGATCCTTTTGAAAAAGCAAAAGAAAGGCAAAATATAATTAATTCTTATTCTTCTCTGAAAGGTTTTTAATTTAAAATTAAATTTCTAAAATTTTTGGGCGATTTACCAAACAAGTTTTCCAAAATTATGGAAATCTCCTACCCCCTGGATATGGGCCTGAAAGTATATATTGTTTTATAATTATTCTATAATTGTCGAGGTTATCTATTTTTATTTTACAAATTAAATTAAGAATAAATTTTTAATTAGTAAAACCCCTTAAAAATTTATTTTTTTGTCTAAATTTATTAAAAATTAACCAAAATTATTTATTAAAAAAGGTGTCGATGCTTTTCCATCATCAAATGCAATTCTTTCTTTAAGTGAATATTTACCTAGACAACCTTCACAATCTTCACAACCACAATTTGGAATTAGTTAATTTTATAAATATTTTTTTTTAAATTATTTTTTCAATTTTTTAGCTCCTTTTGGCCAACCATTACAGCCACAACAGACGGGAACTTCTTTATTTGGTGTAAATGTCTCAAAACCTCCAACTTCTTTTTCTTTTAATAATCCTTCTGTTACAAGTTCTTTATTATTTGGAACGGCAAATAAACCAGCAACAAATACTTCTTCTTTATTCGGTACTGCTTCGGCAACAACAACAACCACTTCTCTTTTTGGACAACCAGCTCCAGCAACAACATCTTTAGGTTGAAAATTTATCTATTTTTTACAAAAAGGGGGATTAGGGGATATTAAAGGGATATTAGTCTGTGTAGACTAGATATTTTTTAAATAATGTTTAAAAAGTGGGGGATGACTTTCTCTTTTTGTATATTTTTAAATTATTTTTATTTTCAGCATCTATCCCTCTTTTTGGTAGTACAACAACCCAACAATCAACAGCAGGTCAACAACCAGCAGGGACAGCTTTATTCAGCAATACTCTAAATTCTGCGAGTAGTGGGACTTTATTTAAAGGAAGTGCTGTGGCAACGCCGAATAGACCAACTTTGTTTGGAGGTTTACAAAAATAAATTTATTTAAATAAGTGACAATTTTAATGCTTTTTTCTGTTTATTTATTTGGAAAATAATTCCTATTTTTAAATTTTTGTTGAAAAAGGTGACTTTATTTTTTAATTTTAATTTAAAAATTTTATTTTTATTTATCTTCAACTCCACTATCATCATTATCGTTATCCCCCTCCATTTCACTTTCATCATTATTTGAATTAATTCTTCGTCTTTTACTCACAACTTCATCTCCATCATCATTACCATTAATTACTTCACTAATTATATCATCATCCTCTTCTCTTGTTCTTTTATTATTTAATTTTGTTTCAATCAATTTAGATTCCTCCAAATCGTCGAATGGTTCATCACATAAATTACAAGATTTACGGCAAACTCTAGACATTGCCTTATAATAAACCTTCAAAAAATTAATTTATTTTTAAAATTTTATTAAAATTAACATTTTCTTCTGGTTTATCATCTGGTGGGCGTAGACAAGCACTTTGGTCAGCTTCTGCACATTTATCACTTAAATCGACACATCTAGCTAAATTAAAATCTTTATTTTATTTTCTCTATTTAAATATTTACGTGTGCAAAGTTTGCATGAACGGGCACATTCGTGTAAATCTTTGTTAAATTCTTTGTGGTGTTTACACATTGTTGATCTCATCGAAATACAGCCATCTACTGTATCTTTACAGGGCCCTATGTGACATGTTCCACAACTAGAGGGACAGGCTATATTCATCTTTAAATATTTTTAAAAGAAAATATCTAAAAAATATTTCCTTACCAATTTAGGCAGTTTTTCACACAAATGTTTACGTGATTCACAATCAAAGTCATAAGCTGTTAAATAAAAAGAAAACTTAGACGATCGGGAAAATGTTTCTTTAAGAGGCAGCCCGTAAATATCCTAATAAAAGCTCATTCCCTATTACACTCAATAAAAGCCCAAGGGTTCTATTAGAACATTTACTGTATACGGTTTATTCTGTTTTATCATCTGGGTGTGATATTTTAGAAGCTAAATTACTCACTAGGATCATCACCACAGCCATAGGCAGCTAACATACAACAAACTTTGCAATGATGTGCACATTTATAGACTACATCTTTTATTTCATCTAAATCACAATTTGGTGGCCGGCCGTGTGGATCATCGGGATCATGGGGAAAAAGGGCCCTGCATGTTTTCTTGTGATAAACATCAGCACAAACATATGCCAAAGGTACAAAATTCCCGTCTTTATCCTAAAATTAATAATATTTTTACTTGAATATAAAAATTTAAATCCGTAGAAAGTGCCACGTCGGGGCCAGGTCGATTGGCGGCTTTATATCAGTTGTGGCTTTGAGCCCAATTTTTGGAACATTTAAAAGAATTATGTTTAGCTTTTAGCTATTTTTTGTGCAGCCAACACCCACCATTAAAGTGGGTCGGTCATTTGCTAGCCTTATACTTGAAAAAACCCTTTATCCTATCATTAATTTGAATATGTTCTAAGAAGTACCTGACAAATATATCTTCTCTTTTTAGCTCTTTTATGTTCTCTACTACCCTCTTCATCACTTCCATTATCGACTTCAGATTCTGCTTCATCGTTTTTGGATTCTTCTTCATCATCATCATCATCATCTCCTCTTTTTCTTTTTTTAACATTTTTACTTTTACTGCTTTTACTTTGTGCTTCGTCATCTTCTTCATCTCCTTCTTCTCCCTCTTAATTAAAATAATTTTAATTACATTGTTAACATAATTAAGTTAATGTAAATTTCCTCGCCTTTTTCATCTTGTAACACTTCAGATTTCTCATCTTCACTCTCTTTATCATCGTCTTCATCATCATTCCCTTCCTTATCGTCATTATCTTCATCTTCCTCCTTCTCATTCTCCTTATCCCCATTTTTTTCTTCTTCATCTTCCCCATCCCCTTCTCCCTCATCTTCCTTCTCGCTTTTTTCTTCTCCTTCCTCTTTATCATCATCACCACCGCCATCATCCCCTTCTTCCTTATCTTCTTTGTCTTCATCTTCAGCCGTTGCTTTAAAAGTAAATAGGCAAAAGAAAATTATGATAAATATTGTAATATATTTCCATTTTCTTGGCAACATTTTTTGAAAAATTTTTTTTTTATATTTAAATTTTGAAAGAGGTAGAGAGAAAGAAATATATAAATTTAAAAAATGAATTTTTATTTGAAGCTAAAATCCCTGTCATGAGTTGGAAGTTTATATGCAGGTGCCCAAACTTTTCCTTTTAAAATAAATCTTCGCTCCTTTAAATTTATTTAATTATTTAAATTTGGAAATATTTAAAAGTATTGATTTAAAAAAGTTTTGTGGAATTTGTAAAGATTTTAAAGAAAAATTAAAATAAATGAATAAATTGTTTTATTTTAAAATTTTGTCCAAATTTGTTATTCATTTAATTTAAAATCCAAAATATCTAAAAACAAAAATTTCGTCTCCTCAGGCATTAGGTACACAAATTGTTTTTGATAGTTCTAGGTAATTATAATCCCATACAAGTTCACCACACAATTTTATTTTTCCAATATTTAATTTTTAAATATTTTTTTAATTTTAATATTTATACACTAACAACAATTTTCATTATAGAAATGTTTAAAATAAGAAGGAAATAACTTTTTAAAAATTTAATTTATTTTTGCCGAAAATGAAAAAATTAATTAAAACTTTAAATTAACTTTAATTATTTTTTTTCATTTTTAACAATGTTAGTCTATATTATTTTGTTATCCCTTCCCTACTTTTATTATTTTTTGTTATCTTTTTAAAAGAAATTTTTACATCTGGCAGTTGTTCCATTTTTTGTTTTTCTTTGTTTAAAAATTAAAAATAAGTACATATTTTTTTGTTAATTAAATTTATCTCAATAAATGACTGACCAACAAAAATTATTAATTATATTACAGCCTAATAATGTTGAGAGAAAAGAAAGGACTTTATTAAATGCTCCAATTAATGTAAAAAGAATTAAAAATAAAAATAATTAATTAAAAATTCCCTAGATTCGTTTTTATGGTGCTTGTATAGCCTGTACTGTTATTGATGTTATTTTAATTTTTTTAACTTTACTTGCATATTTTTATCCAAATCCTTTTCGAAGAACTCCCCTTTATAAACAAATATTTCAAGTAAATTAATTAATTATTTTAAAATTAAAATTAAAAAAAAGAAATTGGATCGTTTTACTATTCAATTTTGGTATTCAATTACGTTGTTGGCTTTAACTATTTTCTTTTTTCTTCATTTTTTAAGTGTTGGGGGTTCTTTATTAAGTATTCAGGTAAAAAAAGGGAAGGAAAGCAGAAGGCGGTCGGAACAGTCAGAGGTGTCGGAAATCGGAAGAGCCGGAAATCGGAACTTCAAAAATTGTCGGAAATCGGAAGGAAAAAAACTCGGAAATCAAAATTCCGACCCACCTCTGAAGGAAAGGAATAGGAAATTATTTAAAAAAAATATTTCTTTAAAAAAGATTCGAAAACCTCTAATATTTATTCCTCAATTAATTCTTTGTTTATTGGCCGTTCTTTTACAACTTTTACTTTTCTCTGTTTGTATAACAATTAGGTAATTATATATAAATAATTAAAAATAAATAATTATTTTTTAAATATTTTAAAGTATTGTTAGTGATGATACAATGTGGGGAATTGCTATATTCTCTTTATTTTTGTTATTTTTGTTTGGGTAATTTAATTTATTTTTAATTAAATTTAATTTAATTAAAAGTATTTATTTGGCAATTTCTGTATTTACTTTTAAACAATTATTGTTTGAATGTGATGATTTTAAGAAAATGTTGGCTAATTCAAAATCTGTACATTTTAAAGAAGAAAATAAACGAAAAAAATAATTTTTTTAAATGGTCACTTTCTCTTTAAAAAATATTTCAATTAAATATATTTTATTTTGGCCCCAATTGACTAATAAAATAATTTTTTATTTCCTTTTTTAATAATAAAATAAAAAAAATATTTTTTTAAAATTAATTCCTTTTTTCTTTTAAATATTTAAAAATATTCTCTTTTCTCCCTAAAAAACTTTTATTTAATTTTACCAAAATAAACTAATTGCAAAAATTTAAAATCAGAAAATACTTTCTTTCCCTTCCTTTTTATTTAATAAATTTTTGTTGGTCTTTTAAATTGTGAATGTAAAAATAAAAAATTTGGATGCTTTTCTTATAAAATTTTGAAGAAAAAATAAATAAAATATTTAAATTTCTAATTCCCTCCTCCCCCCTCCCCTTATTAAAATATTGTTTAAATACAAACTCTCCATTTTACATATTTTTTATTTATTAAAAATTGCAACAAAATTTACATTTTTAATCAGAAAAATAATAATAAATAATTAAAAAGTTTTGTATTATTTTGAACCAAAAGAAAACAAAAAAAACTTTTTTAGCTTTTTTCTAAAAATTGTTTGAATAAATATGTATAAAACAAATTTTAATAAAAATTGTAATTTATTTAATTAATAAAAAAAGGATTAATTAAATTTTTAAATAAAAAAATATTTTTATTCTTTTAATTTTTTTTCTATTTTTAGAAGGACCACCAAATAAAAAGTCAAAAGTTAAATAAAATGTGCAAAGAATTTATTTTTAAATATACCTTTTTCTTTTAAATTTCTTTCATTATTTTATAACAAAAAATATATTTATTTTTATTTCCTTCTAAACCAATTGTTTTATTCCAAAAAGTTTATTGTCTTTTCTCTCCCTCTCCCTCTCCCTTTCTTTCTCTCAATTTTTAATTTTGGCTTTTCTCTTTAAAAAGATTTACAGATATATATCTGTGAAATAGCTAAAAAAAACCCCCAAAAATTTTCTTTTTCATTTCCCCAAATCGATTTCTTTATTTTTTTCTGATTTTCTGTTAAATAAGTATACAGATTTTTTATGTCCATTTACTTGGATATTAAATAAATATGTGTGTATTTTTAAAAAGAAAAATAAATCAAAGAAAGATTATACTAAATATTATTTTTAAAATTAAATTGATAAAAACTTAATGGGTTTTTTTAAATATTAAAATTTAATTAAAAAATAAATTCTTTATTTTATTAAAATTTTGTTAAAAACTTCAAAGTTTTTTTTATTTGAAAGCCGATCACTCTTTTAAAATTAATATTTTTTATTTTAAAATTAATTTTTAAGTAAGAGGTTACTAATTAAACTTTAAAAATTATTTTTATCTATATTTAAAATAAAACACCTGTCTTTTAAAATTTATTTTTTAAAACAAATATTTTCTCCTTTAATTACGAATATTGCTTATTTTTTAATTGCTCTTTTTGTTATTAAAAAAGAGAAGAAATGATTAATTAAGGATTTAAAGTTAATTAATCTTCAAAATTAAAGTTTTAAAATATTTTATTTAATTTTTAAAGTGTTGGACAAATTGCTTATTTTTCTTTTAAAAATTTTAATTAAAATTATTAAATTTTAAAAGTTTAAAATTAGGATTTTTTTATTTTTTTTTAAATATTTTTCAAATTTATTAAATAAATTTTAGATTAATATTTTTTAAAAATACTAATTTATTTTTAGCTTTTTTTAAAAAAATATTTGTTGTTTTGTTTTCCCTTTCATTCCAAAAACTTCCAAAAATGTTTGCAATATTCCGGCGTATTCGCTTTTTCTACAAAAAATTAAAATTACAAAGATTGAGGTATTTTGTGCCTTTAATTGTTTTGATTGCCTATACTGTTGGGGGTGCTTATATATTTAGATATTTTGAATTACAAGAAGACGAGGAAAGGAGAATTAGATATAGACAAAATACTGAATATGCTTTTAAAAGAGTAAAATTAATTTATTCTAATTTTAAAAATATTTTGACCTAAAAAAAGGATGATTCACCCTAGCAGCATTTAAAACGCCTAGGCGGGGGTTAAACGATCTAAAAGGATAAAAGAGAAAGCATTAATGCCCCGGTGAGCTACTGTATGTGGTGAGAGAAAGGTCTTAGGAATAACTGAGGAGGTCGCAGGTTCGAATCCTGCCCGTGGATAAACTTTTGCTAAACTCTTTCCTTTATAATAAGTACTAATATCAAAAATTAGAAATTCCAAAAAAAAATTATTTTTTTGAAATAATTTATTTAGACACTTAATCGAATGCTTGAAGTTCGGTGTGAAAATGGTCTTGAAGATACAGATAAAGCTTTACAAAATAGACATGTAAAAGAACATCTTTTTTGGTTAATGGATTATTTAAATTTAACACAAGTAATTGAAGAAAGATCAGGTATTTCCCCTTGGACTTGGATGGGGGCTATGTTTTATGCTGGTCAACTTTATACAACAATTGGTTATTCTTTAATTTAAAAATATATTTGTTGAGAAAGAGAAGGACTAGAAAAAACTAAAATATTTTAATAACATTCTTTAAATTAAAAAATAATTTTTTAATTAAAGGTTATGGATTGCCAGCCACACAAACATCTGGAGGAAGATTAGCTAGTATTATTGTTAGTTAATATACAAATATTTATTTAAATTTAATTTTTAAATTTAAAAGTATATAATGATTGGAATTCCTTTATTTTTAATAATTCTTGCCGAAGTTGGTAAATTACTTTCTCATGGATTGAGAAAACTTTATAAGAAAATGCATAAAATGAAAAGAATTCCTGAAGCTGCCAGAAAAATGAGTGAACCGATGAAAGTAATTATAATTTAAATTAACAAATTACTAGAGTTTCATCGAAAGTTCCGGTTCCAGTCAAAATTTCGGTTCCGGTGAAACACTCCAAATTACCCTCTCCCTTTTATAATTCCCTCTGTATTCCCTCACCTCCACACTCCCCCTTTTTAATTCACCTTTTAATTATTTAAAAAGGCAATTTACCATATGACAACATCCTTGGCAAGTACTGCCGTTGGTCCTTTAGCTTTACAAATTTTAAGTGCGAATAATGAAGAAGAAAAATTGGAAGCTAAAAGAAAAGCAGAAATTAAAGTTTTTTCTTAAAAATAATTTTTAATTTTTTAAATTTAAAAAAGGCATTGGCAAAAGCATCGAAAGGAGAGAAAAAATCTTTTCCAATTCCTTGGGCATTAACTATTTTAATTGTTTGGATTTTATTTAGTGCTGCACTTTTTTGTATTTGGGAAAGTGAATGGGGATATATGACTTCTGTTTATTTCTTTTTTGTTTCTATTAGGTAAATAAATGAATGGGGGAATAAAATAGATAAAATTATTTATTTAAGTACTGTTGGATTAGGTGATTTAGTGCCAACTAAACCAGATATGATGGTGAGTTATTATTGTTAGTAATAATTTAACGAGGAACTTAACTTTTCTTTAAAATTTTTTAAAAGGGAGAAGAAAGATAAATTTAAAAAAATTTAATTTTCGATATTAATTAAAATAAATTCTCTTTATATTTTAATCTCCAAATTAATTCCAAATTTTTTAGATTATTAATTTTTTCATGATTTTAATTGGTTTGGCATTGCTGTCAATGTGTGTTAATTTAATTCAAGTAATTAAATATTTATTTTAAAAAATATTTTTTTAAAAATTTATTTAGGAAGCATTACAAAAATTAATTGAAAGATTAATAGAACAATATATTGATGAAATAGAAAAAATAGCTGCTGTTGTGACAAATAATGAAATAAATGAATTTACTGAAGAATTGGAACCTTTTAATGTTGGTGAAATTAATGGTAAATTTAAAAGAAATTGTCCTTTAATAAAGATTTAATTAAAGAAATGTCTTTACCTATAGCAACATTAAATATAGAACAACCAAGAATAGTAGTAGAAAATGGAGGAGGAATTGGGAGAACAGTAAAAGATTGGTTTGCTGAGAAAGCTAGTAGTATATTACTTAATAAGGTAAACTACTTATTCTCAACAAAAAAAACCCTCACAAAATTTTCTTTTTTTAAAGATTTATCCAGTCTCGAATTCCCTTTCCTCTTCTGATTCTGAAGAAGAAGAAAAGGATAGAGAAAATGTTAATTTGCCTGATTTAGAAGAAATAATTGTTAAAACAGAACCAGTTAAAGCACAAATAACTATACATAAACATTCTTTGGATGAAAATAAAATTGTGGAAGATGAAAATCTTCCACAAATTGAAATTCATGAAGGAACACCTTTAAGAATTGAAGAAATGCCTAAAAATCAAATAAAATTAGAGAAAGCACAAGTTAATATTAATAAAGGAATTATTTATGGAGGAACATCTACAATCGGTTAGAATGGATATATTTTATTAGAGTTGGGGGCCCGGTTCGAAAGATCGAATCGGACATCTAATCTTGGCCCAAAGACTCGAATTGCCCATTCGATAAAAATTAGGCCCGAAAAAATTACTCGAACGTCGACCCGATTCGAAAACCCTAACCCTATATTTTAGGTTAAAGAAATTACAAGGGGTGAATTATTGAAAGCAGTAAATACTTTACTTTAATCCCCTTTTCTTTTTTCATTAAACATTTGCCGAAATAAACAACACTTTTAGATTCAACACCTACTCGAGAAGGGATCTCTTTCCAGAAGCGACATAAAAAACCTCCAAAATTACCCAAAGATTATGCTGGTGCTCTTTTAAAATTTAGTGCTCCCACAATGCAAGCAATTCGAGCAATTGAAAATTCTCGACTTAAAAATGGGCAAATTGGAAATGATTTTAAGTAAATATTTTTAAATATTTTTTTAAAAATTTTTCTCTAAAAGATCACGTCTCTTTGCTAAATTTGCAACAAATCAAAGATTTGCAGAAATTGTTGAAAATAATGCTCCTCCTCCTAAAAAGATGGTTAGTAGTAGTATTCAAACATCTCCTCGTCAATCACCAATTCGTTCAATACCTCAAAAAAGTTGGCGATTAAGAAGACTTGGTTGTGGAATTGGTAATTTTTAATTGAAATTACCTTCATTTAAAAGAAATCTTTTGAAAAAAACGTTAAAAATCTAATAAATATTTTAATAGAATCGATGGATTCAACCTCTTCTGATTTAAATGTTACCCGAACAACTACAAACGATGCAAGTAATCCAAGTTGTAGTGCCAATGATTTAGATTCATTATATTCAAATACTTATTTTGATGTTTGTTTTGGTAATTACCACACAGATTCTGTCCCTTCTTTAATGGCAATTACTCCTTTATTACCACAATCTTCATCCCAAATAGCTATGGCCAATTCAAAAAAATTGGGTGAAAGACGTTCAAGTTTAGCATTAAAAAGAAGATTTTCTGATAAATTATTTTTTGGTCTTTTTGGAAGACGTATTAATGAAAACCCTCAAAAACAAAAACCAAAATTTATTGTTGGTGGAAATGCTAAATTAGGGAGGCATGATTCTGATGATGATAATGACGAGGATGATGACAACGAATTAAATAGACATGAAAGTGAGTAAAATCAATTGATTTTAACAAATTATTTTTTTAATGATTCGGTTTAAAAATATCCATTTTTAGGCCAACAACATTCCCGAAGAAAACGAAGGCCTTTGTCTCAAAGCTTTTCCTCTCCCTCGTTTCCTTTTATCAACCCTCAATGTTTATCACCAACAGATAAAAATAATAGAACGATAATCTCACCAGTATCAATCCCAACAACTCCAATAATTCATTTAACAGACATGGCAATTAATAGAAAATTTAAATTGGGAATGACACCAAGTCCAAGCCCTGCAGAAAGAATTTCAAATTTTAAACAAGGTAGATAAGAGATTATTTTTTTTAAATAATAAAATTCTTTAAGTAACAAAACCCTCTACTTCTACTGAAAATATTTTAATACAAGGAAAAAGAGCGAGAAGAAATAGCCGCGTTTGTGGTCTTGCTATTGGCTCTAATCCTTTAGGTTGTGTTCCTCTCCATCATAGAACACTTTCAACAAGGAGGAGATTTTCTGCATATGCCAGTATTTCACCTCCTCCTCTTCTTAATCGTTGGGGAGAAAACTTTGTTGTTGATGAAAGTAAAGGAAAAGAAGAAGAAGAGGAGGAAGAAGAAGAAGAAATAAATGATGAAAAAGTTGAAGAAGAAGGAGAAAAAAATAAAAAAGTAGAAGAAAATGAAGATAAAAAAGTTTAAGGAAAATCAAAAAAATTTTTGTTTTAAAATTGAAATATTTAAATTGAAGGCAAAATGGAAAATAATCCAAAAATGAAAAATTAGAAAATTAAAGAAATAACAATTAGATACATCAGAAATTTAAAAGACATTTAATTGTCAATTTTATTGGAAGAAAAGGACTATGTATTAACAAAAGTTTAAATTTTTATGTGGTTATTATATTTGTATTTTCGAATAATTTTTTTATATTAATTAATTTATTAAAAGTTTATTTTTATTTCCAAATTTTATTTTTCTTACTGTGTTATTAATAAGTTACTTCAACTTTCTCAAAAGGAGATTTAAATTTTCCAAAAGATATACCTAAATGTTAAAATCGAAGCTTAAGGTAAATCTAATTTTTAACTGCTTGCATTGGTATAGTCAGATATACTGAGACAAAACAAAAATTTACCCCTCGTCTTCGTCCTAGTAAGGAGGTTCAGGGTTACTAATGCAATCTAAAAGGAGTAATCAAATTAAAAATTCAAGTGCAAACAAAATAAACAAGCAACGAAAATAAGAATGAGGCAAGTTAAACCTAAAAGCTCAAACTATGGGAAGCATCTTAACTACTACAAGGCTCAAAAATCGTCGTTTTTATAGTTATTTTGATTTGCACAATGCCACCTACAATGAAAGGCTATAAAAACGACGGTTTTTGAGCACTCCTCACCGTCAACAACTCATCTCGTCCATCACACATCATCGCAAGTTACGTCAACGCAAGCCGCAATGCCAAACCCTGCGCCGAAGGAGGATACGTGGGCGTTCAATCCGATCGGGTCGCCATTTCCGGACAATCCTGTCAAAGTGCTGGGCCAGCAGAACATGTACGTCGCACTGTGGTACAAGAACGGAAAGCCGGTGCACGGCTACGCATGGAACGACGGTGGCGTTGTACAGGCTTCATTTCCGTACGGCAAGGCTGAGCTCACAGGGAAAATCGATCTTGGCGACATCATTCAGGTGCGTTGAGTCTTTTTTTAGTAATCTAATTTGTAACCGTTTTCTCTTTCTTTAAGGTGCTGCAGTACAAAGGAGACCACAACTCGCTCGGCTATTGGTACGAGTGGATCAAGTACAAGGACCGTTTCGAGAAGACCGATCAACGTCAACTGGTTCGGTGCGGCGACTCGATGCCCATTCTATGGGTTAATCGTCCTGGTGGAACACTGCTCGGCTACTTGAACATGAAGACGGAAGAAGCCTACTTTTCACAAGCTGGCAAGGCAGAATGCGTCGTTGGAAAACCGCTCTCGGAAATGATGATCATTATTCGGTACGTTTAGGTGTTTAGGTGCGTCTTTAAAATTTATCCCATTTTTAGGAATCTGAAAGGAGGCCCTCCAGGATGTGTGTGCGCCAGCTGCCCCAAGGGACCGCCGCCAGTGCTCATCATGCTGAACGAGTGGGCAGACATCAGGATCAGACATGCACGAAACGTTTCGTTTCGTTGTTTCGTTAGTTTCGTTATGTTTTTTCCTGTTTCGTCTCGTTTCGTGACGAAACACTTTTTAGTTTGTTTCGTTTCGTTTTGTTAACGAAACACCTCTGTTTCGTTAACGAAACATTACCCATTTTTTAGACCAAAATCCTACCCAAAAACTGAAAAATTTACACCTTTGGTGACCAAAATTCAAAAAATTTTTGCCTGCGGCGCTGAAGTCTGAATTTTAAGCGCCTACGGCGCATAATTTACTAAATTTTTTTGAATTCCTCATTTGATTTTGTTTTTTTAATATGCAAAGCTCAAATTCCATGCTAGATTAGGCATATAGAATCGATCTACCTCTTAATGCCAATCAGGGCAGGCGCAAGAGTTTCAATAAAGTTAGCAACTGATAGCAATGATCATGAATATGGTTGCCTTTTTTCGGGCCTGTTTCTATCGATTCGGGCCAGACAAGTCTTTTCGGGCCAAATATCTTAGGCCCAACTCGATCATTTGGTCCGAGTCGGTCCATTTTGGCAACCCTAATCATGAACGTTGTTATCAAAAAAATCTGAGTTGAGAAATATCATTGGATTTGGCGGGAGCAATGGTGGTATAGGAAATTGGAAGAGAGTAAACGGGATATCGGTGGATTTGGAGGGTTTAAAAAATTTAAAAAAATGTCGGGAATCAGGAAGGGGTTTGGGGGATAGTAATTTCCGACAAAATTAATTCCCGATTTTAGGGAATCAGGAAACGGGTCGTCAGGTCCCTGATATACACATATGCTCAACACATAATTCGATTAAAGTTGATTTGGTCGAATTAAGGCTGATATAGTGGAGTATGAGTAACCTGGGACCACATTTTAAGATCCCGCCAAGCTATTAGATCAATTTTAAGCCATAACTGGCCTATTAACGTGTCTAAAATCGAATATTTAATAAAATAAAACCGTTTTTATTAAATTTTTTGAAAGTTAAAATGTTTCGTTTTGTTTCGTTTCGTTTCGCTAAATTTTTACTGTTTCGTCTCGTTTCGTTAACGAAACGATTTTTAAAAAATTTTGTTTCGTTTCGTTTCGTCTGAAAAAATTTTGGAGTTTCGTGCATGTCTGATCAGGATGGGAGACCCATGGCCAGGATATAGGACGGTGAGAGCTGGTGACAAGACGCTGAACGCAACGGCTGGAGACTCTGCTGAGCAGCATGTGGCCTTGTGGTATGTGCACGGTGAACCTGTGATGGGCCGCATCTGGAACAATGGTGGAAAGGTGAGAAAAAATTTATTTCTTATAAATAAATTAGTTTGTGGTTTTTTTTGAGTTCAGGTCGCTGCTGCGTTTGGCTGGAACGGCAAGGCCTTCACCGACAACACTGTTGCTATGCCCGCTGGTCAAGTCCTCATCGACCTTCCTGAGAAAGTCCGCGGCTACGACTACCTTTGGCGCCCGTGGAGTGATGCTGCCGTCTATGACAAGAACTCCCGAGTGTACTATCCAGTACACGTGGACCACGTGAAAGGTATCGATCATATAATACCTTGAGCTAACCCTTAAATTTTATTATCCCTTTCAGGAAACATCTCGCCATGCCTGCTAACTCTACCAAATGGCAAGGAGGCACTCGGCAAAGCGGACATCCGTAACGAGCGTGCATCGGCTGTCGTCGCTGGCAAGGACGAGCGCTTCGAGGGACCAGCTGTCCACAAATTCTTGGTGCTGTGTCGCAAACCGAAGCCAGGACAGAAGTTCGACGAGTGATGTGGGCAATAACAGAAACTCATAGGATTGTGATATGTATTTTCCCCAAACTTTTTGTAATGTGATAATTTTTCCCTAATTTCCCATCATAATTGTTCATATTTGTTGTAACCCTTTTCTATTTGTTATTTTTTGTATATTTGTTTGTTGAATGTATGATAAATAAATTTGTAAAATTGTTTGATTTAGTTTTTTATTCTTTCTGACATAGTTTTGAGCCTTGTATTGAGCTTTTCTTAGCTGCTTCCCATAGTTTGAGCTTTTAAGTTGAGCTTTAAGTCTTTCATGCTTTGCCTCATTGTACGAGCTTCTTTTCCTAGGTTCTCTATGTAAGAGTTATCCTACGTGAAAAAATTTTTATTTCCATTAGAGCTTCGAGTTCCTTCCTTTTGAAACCTATTTTCTCAAAAAAAACTCCATTTTACTTTTCTCCACCCATAATGTTGCACCATTCTTATTACAGCTTTAGCTATAGAATTTGTATTTTTGAGGAAGGACGTGCTAATGTCTTGTTAATATTTCTGTCAGAAACTGCTGCCCATGTACATTTTTTCAACGGCCTCGAATTCTTATAAAGAAAATGTAAAAAATCAAGATTATTTTTTGAAAAAAATTAGTTTAAGATTCTTACCGCTAGCACGGTAAGGTTCTAACAAAGCTCCGACTTTCTAAATATGTATACAAAAAAATATTTTCTTTTAAATTTTACTTAACTCATTATGTTAAATTGAACAGCAATGGCTTATGATTGGATGAAATTGCTGGCATAAGTTATAATAAAAGAGAGAAATTTTATTTTATGTAAATATTAACTATTCAATTAAAAGGGAGGTGATCGGACTTCAATAAGGCACAAATTTCAAATCTCGAATAATTGCCCTCCCTCATTTATTACATCTTACATAATTACCCATCGTAGTTATTCAATAAAATACTTTAAACAATTTTGCAAAAGTTTTTCTAATTTTTACAAGATATTAAAAAATGTTTTGATAAAATTACTTTTCTTTTCTTTTTTACCCAAAAGAATATATGTATGTAAAATTGAGATCCAATTCGGCTGTAATTGAAATGTTAATTATTTGTGTACTTTTAAAAGATCTTTTAAAATCCATGTGAAATACATATTTTATTAAAACAAAAGTTTTTTTTCTAAAGAATTTTTTTATTTCAAAAAATCTTTTGCTTTCATTGACGTAAATTTCTATTTGTCTTTAACTTAATTTTTTAAGTAAATTTTTAACTCAATACTTAAACTCAATAAAAATAAGCACTACTCACATTCTTTTTTCCTTGAAATTTTTGAAGACAAGAAGACTTTTTAAAATTTATTTTTTTCTAAAAAATTTCTTTTAAATATTTTCTTCTTTTCAATCTTTTTTTTATTCTTCAGTTCTTAAACACATATTATTTCCAAACTTTCTTCTCCATTTTTCGATTCTTCAAAAATATTTTTATTTAAAAAAAAAATAAATTTTAAAATAATTATTTCCATTCAATTTATATTTTAATACATATAAAATATAAAATTCAATTTTTTAAAGTAAAAAAGTATTGTTAAATTTAATATAAATAAAAAGGAAAAAAATTTTTTTATTTTATTGAAGCGTTAAAAGTTTATTTAGTTTTGTTTTTTTATTTCATTTTAAAATTTTTTGATTATTTGAATATTTTTTTGTTAATTATTTTTTGAATATTAAGCCAAAACTGCTAATATTTTATTTGTTTTTCTTATAAAATAAACAAAAACAAATTTTGTATTTTTGTATTTTTGTATTTTTTTTTCCTTTTTCTTTATTTTTTTTTATTTTTATAATTAATTAACAATTTTTCTCATTTAAAAAGACTAACCAAAAATGCGTGTGGTGTATTTATAAATAAATATTTTTAGTGTCACATACATACATTTTTTTAAAAAGATTGTTTTATTTAATTATTAGAGAGAGAGAAATTTGTGAATTGATTTTACTTTTTAAATTTAATAAATATGTATTTCTATGGACAAGTTAAAAAAGAAAAAATTTTTTATTAAATATTTTATTCAGAAAAAGACTTTTTTAAACTTAAATATTTTATACCAAATATTATTTTTCCAAAATTATCTCAAAAAAAATAAAATTTAATTATTAATTTATTTCGTTGTCTGGGTGATATTAATTATTTTTCTAAAAAAATTATTTTTCTTTTAATTTACCCATTTTTCAGAAAATGAGCATTTTTAAATAATTTTTATTTAATTCTTTTGACGTAAAAATGGATAAATTTTTGTAAATTTATTTTAAGAAATTAAAATAAAAGTTTTATTGAAACTTTTTTTAATATAAATAATTGTGGTTTGAATTTTAAAAAATATTTATTTTAAGGGGTTAATTAATTATTTATTTTTTAGAAATTCTCTTCAAATTTTAATGAAAATATTTATTTATTAAATAATTTTTTGTTAATTATTTAAAAAAAATAAATAATTTAAAAGTGTGTTTGTTTGTGTCAGGCACTAGATCCATATATTCGTGTATAAATAGATGTGTGTGTGGATTTATTTATTGCTTGCCCTATTGAATGGAATTTTTGGGGCAAATGGTTTTTTAAAATATAGAAATCGATGCTTTAATGTTTTTTTTATTTTCTTCTTCTTCAAAAAGCCTTCTTTTTCTTTTTTAAAATAAAATACTAAATTTATTTTTTTAGAATTTATTTACAAATTAAATAAATAAATTTATTAAAAAAATATTTATTTCGTCAGTTTTTTTAAATTAATATTTATTTTTAGAGTATATTAATATAATTAAATTAATTTAACTTAAATATAAATTAAACAAAAATTAAATTTAAAAAAATCCTTTTTCTCTTTACATCATTAATACATCAATTTTTCAAAATTTGTAAATAAATAAAAATATTAACCCAAAGAATTTTCTTAAAAGATTTTTTCCACTTTAAACAAACAATTTAAAGTTAGCACCTGTTTAGTTCGAGTTATCCACAAAAAAAGAAATTTGATATATTTTATTTATTTATTAACAACAAAACACGCAACAGAAAATCTTTAATAAATAAATAAATAAAAATATTTTCTTTTAAAAATTTCAAAAAAATTATTTTTAAATTATTTATTTAACTTTTAGCAATATTTATATTTATCTATTAATTAATTCTTTTTAACTAAAAAAATATTTATATTTATTTTTTAATCTTTAAACGACTAAAAATAAACTAAAAGTAGAGGAAAATATTTTTTACTTTTTTTATTTAATTGCGGATGGCCTCAATAGAAGAAGAGGGTAACAACATTCATCAAAAGCAACAACCCCCCTCAACTATTGGACGTGCCCAACAGCAAAAGTAAATAATTAATTTAAACAAAAAATAATTATTTAAATCTAAATTTAAAGCAAAGTGCCATCAGCACTTCGCCCCTTGCTGGAGGCATTTGCTCGCGAAACGTTACGATCTCAGCCAGCTGATTTGGTTAAATTTGGGTGTTGCTTTTTTAATACACTTGACAAACATTGTGAAAGTTTGTACAAAATTCCTCTTTTCTTTCAAATAATTAATTAATTTTAAAGTAAAAACTCCAAACGGAATCGAAAATTTATTGAGTGGAAATAAATCAGCTTATAATTTATTTCGAATTGATTTACAAGAAAACTTCCAATTAATTACAAAAACGGCCAATTCAAATTTAACAAAAAACGGCGGTGGAGGGGGGTCCCCAGTTAATTGCTCTCGCCGCCACAACAATCAACAAAGGCCTAATAGTCCAATGGACATTGCTGCAACTAAAATACAAGCTGCATTTCGTGGGCATTTGGTTAGCTTTTTTTAAAATATTGAAAGTCGGGTTTAATTTTGGGGTTTAAAAGAAAAAATAGTAATTTGTTGAATAAATTAATTTAAAAATAATTGGCACGAAAATTATGAATTTTTCATTATTATTACTTATTCAAAAGGTGGGGAGGGGGTGACGTCACCCCCTCCCCAACGCGGTGGGGAGGGGGTGACGAGGGCCGAAGGCCCGAAGTGCGCCAACTTGTAAAAATGGGTCCCGACGGTGGGGAAGGGGGGGGGCGAGGGCCGAAGGCCCGAAGTGCGCCAAGTTGTAAAAATGGGTCCCAACGGTGGGGAAGGGGGGGGGGGCGAGGGCCGAAGGCCCGAAGTGCGCCAAGTTGTAAAAATGGGTCCCAACGGTGGGGAAGGGGGGGGGACGAGGGTCGAAGGCCCGAAGTGCGCCAAGTTGTAAAAATGGGTCCCAACGGTGGGGAAGGGGGGGGGACGAGGGCCGAAGGCCCGAAGTGCGCCAAAATGTAAAAATGCGTCCCAACGCGGTGGGGGGGGGGGGGGGAGGGGGGGGGACGAGGGCCGAAGGCCTGAAGTGACCAAAGTGAAGGACCATTTAACGTAAATCTCCAAGCAAAAAATAAACCTAGCACAGCTTTAAAGCCGCAGGCTTTTATCGCGCGTCCTTGGACGCGCCTTCAAATAAAACAAACGCCACCTGACGTAACTAAATTTTAAAGAATAAAACCCATTCAGCTATTTATCCTTAAGCTGGTTTAAAAGAAAAAATAGTAATTTGTTGAATAAATTAATTTAAAAATAATTGGCACGAAAATTATGAATTTTTCATTATTATTACTTATTCAAAAGCCCCTAATAAACGAAAAAGAAGTTTATTCTTTTAGAAACTAAAATAAACAGAAATATTATTTTTTTAGAAAAAAAGGATTTATTTTAAATAATTTTCTTTTTTTTGAAAAATTGTGAGGGAGGAAGATAATGATTATATTTTTAGTAAAAGGATTCTCTCTCTCTTTTTTAAATATTTGGATGGCATTTTAGAAAAGAAAATTGCTTTTTTTGTGACGGCATTACTTGGGGGCATTTTACACTGACATTCTGCCAGCCAACAAATTACTTTTTAAGCTTTTTTAGTTAAGACAAAAAAAAGCTTTATTGTAAAAGGAAAATGCTTCTTCTTTTTAAAAATATTTTTTAGATCAATAAATTTATTTTTAATTATTAAATAATCTCTAAAATATTTTTAAAAAAAAATACCTATATTTTTCCCTAATTTCAATTAAAATTTACTATTTCCAGTTACGCTCTCACCCAGAAAAGTTTGGCTTGGACTCTACCAAAATCAACGGAATTTGCCAACGGCAAAGAATGCGTCGAAATTCGAATGAACGACTGGCTTTATTTGATAATCGAAAAGATTTAAAGTATTTTTAAATTAAACTTTTTTAAACAAAAAATTTATTTAGACGTCATTCTGTTGGTGGTTATAGCCACGCCCAACAATTAACAGCATCCCCTGAAGACCGTGCAGCAACTAAAATCCAAGCGGAAATTCGTGGGTATTTAACTCGAAAACATATAGAAAATGAAAAGAAACAAAACCAGACTGCCGCTACAAAAATACAGGCACATATTCGGTTTGGGAGAAAATATTTTTTAAAATTAAAAATATTTTTTAGCGGGTATTTAACGCGTAAACACTTGGAAGAAAAAGGTGTTTTAGTTAGCCCTCCACGTTCTCGAACTTCTACAAATGCACGTTCTGAAATTAAAAATGGAATTGATTTTTGAAAAATAAAAAGAATTTTTTTAAAGCTAACATCAAACCTCTAAATAATTTTTTTGGGATTAAAAAATAATAAAATATTAGTTTAGAGAGGTTTGATTGGTTGATTTCTCGTTTATAAAAATTTTTTCTTTTGTACTATTTACATTTTATTTAAATTCAAACTTTAAATTTAAAAATTTCATTTTTTATACCTATAAAATTTAAACTTTTCCAGTAACAAAAAAAACAAAATTAAACGGTAAAATATTATTTTGTGATTTTAGAATTTAAATAGCACTACAGGGATATAAAATCCTTAAAAATTAAATCTAATGTTCCCTTTGGCTGTAATTTGTAAGACAATGCTTTTTTTAACTTAATTAATTCCCCTTCATAAATGAGAGAAATTTTCCGATTGATCATTTTTTATTTTTATGTCATTGACCATTTTATAACTTTTTTCATTTCTGACCCTTTTTTCTTGATAAAAGTTTTTTAACACGAAGTTTTAAAATGCTTAATTTTCAATTGACTAATTTTATAATTCGTTCTTTTTCTTATTTTGTCAGAGAGTGGGTTAATCAATTGTGATTTTGATCTTTTCGGTTTAAATTAATTTTTTCTATAAAATTTTGGAAACATTAAGAAAAAGAAATGTCGGTAAAATCGATATAAATTGCGTGGAGATATTTTAAATAAATTTAATTATTAATAATTTTTTTAGTTATTAATTCATTTATTATTTGACTCCTTTTAAATGTTAAGTGAAACAACTCGAAATAATTCTATTTTACCTGAGGAATCGACGAGGATGTTAATGTATCGAATTTTCTTTGAATTAAATTATTTTTAATTTCAAGGCAACCTTCAAGAATTCCAAATAATTCAGCAATTACCTCAACGCCTCAGCAAAATAATGGTGCAGACATGTCAGCAATTAATACACAGTAATTTTTAATTTTTTTATTGAATTAAAAAGTCTGAACCCAATAAAATCACCCCCACCCCTCCCAAGGAAACTTCTATTTAGGTCAGTGGGACGAGTTATATTGTTGGTATCGTGATTTTAAGGGTCGATTCCGATTTTTCATCCGTCAAGAATTCTCGAAAAAAATTTTTCCGAATGAGCTCGTCGAGCTGAATCGAAAGATATTTGTTGAATTTATTCCTTTGTCAACTTTTACAACTTATAAAACCTTTATTTCTTCATAATTTCAGAACTGTTACAAAGAAGAGAACACGCCAACAAACGGTCACTGTCGAAAATGCTTTTCCTTCTAAGGACATTGAAAATATTTTTAATCGAATTCAAAGCGTATTTTTAATTTAATTCTTTACCGATTTTTCCCCATTTTTCAGTCACCTGGTTCTGAAAATCAAATGATGGAACTTCAACGACAAGTCCAAATGTTTTTTATTCAAAAAGAGCGTGAATGGGAGAATAAACTTACTCAAGTATTTTATTTTTAATTATAAATAGTTTTTGAATTTTTTTTATAAAATTAGAGTAAGCCGCCAGACAACGAAGAATTAGCATTATCCAAAATTAAATTGAAAAGTGGACAGGCTATGATTTCTAGAATTGAAAACTTCAACAAAATCCTGAAATCGAAAGGTACTTTAACTTAAAAATGGGAGTTTATTGAGCTTTTTTTTGTTTTTGTGTTTCTGCAAATATTTGCGAACAACACTTGCGGAGATAGTTAAAATTGATCATCTAAACTTACACTTAAAATTATTTTAGGTCAACACCTTGCTCGTTTAAGCAATTCAAATTCTTTCTTTAATGGCCAAAATTCTGTTGACGATGCTGGTGCTGGGACTCCTCGAAACGGTTATCCCTTATCACCTGGTCAAGTGGATGATCTGACAAGAGAAAGGAATTCTTTACGTGAAGATTGTGCAACATTGGAGAGTAATTATGCTGATTTGTTTAAACGTTATGAAAAAATGCGAGAAAATTGTGTTCTTCTAAAAAATGTAAAAAAAGCTTTCTTATAAAATTTAAAAAGAAATTTTAGAGTGAAGAGGAATTAAAAAATGCTCAAGTTGAGGAAGCTACAAAATATGAAAATCTTTTGGGTAAATTTAAAGAATTGAGAGATACTGCTGATTTTCAATTAAATCAGTTAATTTTTATTTAAAAATTAAAAAAAAAATTAAAATTTTAGAGCAAATCTAGAAATTCAAAGAATTATAAAACAGCACGAAGAAAATACTTTGGGGCTTAGATGTCGTTTAAAAATGAATGAGACACAAATACAAACGTTGAATTTGACAATACAAGGGAAGGTTAGGAAAATTTTTTAATTGCAAAAGTTCTACTTAGGGACCTTCGAAATTTTGGGATGTTCAAATATGAGGACTAACCTCAAAATAACTTCGAGTCCCTAGTTTTATTAAATCCAGGAAATTCGTTTATTTTTGGGAGAGTGTTAATCGATTACATAAGTATCAAAAACATCATTTTGATTCCTTTACTCACCGTCAGCAAAGAAGTTTAATCTTAGGATCTTCGAATTTTCGAAGTCAGTGTCGAGGACAATCATACATACTTCCTCACGATTTTTATTGGCAAAGAGCCCCTATCATTAATTATTTAAATACAGTTTTGTTACCTTAAAACTAAATATATATAAATTCTTAGGATAAACAAATTGATGAATTAAATAAAATGGTTGAAGAGCTTATGGAAAAGAATGGAATTGCTGGGGACGGGGATGACCCTGAAGATGGGGAAAGTATGATTTTTACTCCTGGTTATGAATGAAAAGAAAATATTTTTGTTAAACATATAAATGATATACATATTCTTTTTATATTTGTATTTAAAAGACTGAATATTTTATTGCTTTTATGAGGTTTAAAAATTGGAAATTTTCCTTAAATTTTTTTAAAACGTAAAAATATAGCTACCTAAATTATTTATGAAGAAATATCTACTGTTTAATTAAACCAGACCATTTTTATTTTAAAAATAAAAAAAACTGCTGCCAGTGACTCGAATCTGACCATAATTCATTTTCTACTAATTTTTCGCAACGCATATTTTCATTTCGGTCACTAAGATTTCAGTTCGGTCACTTTTATTTATTTATTAATATTCACTTTTTAAACTATCTTTGTTACAGATGTATCGGAAAAGAGGTGGTTCATTAGAACAAGAATTAGTAATGTCATCACCAATATCAACAGGGACATCAGCAGATCCTTACCCTTTTTCTAATGGACATAATCAATTAAAGTTTCCGAGCGAAGGATGTATTACTCGAGTGCCGTTCTCTTCTCTAAGTGCATTTCTCTTTTGTCTTGGTGGAATTTTACTTTTTAAAGCAATGATAATGTGGGCTTTTAATGCAACTATAGAACAAATTAGGCGGTCACTTGGAATAACACAATTACCTTGGTTGGATAAGGTTTTTTGAATAATATTTCTAAATGAATTTATTCTTTTAGTTTCAACTTCTATTAATAATTGCCTGTATTGCTATGTTTGTAATTTCTGCTGCTTTTCTACTTATCGGTATATTAAGTACAGGACAGACAAGAGAACATATTTTTCGTCAAATGCCTCGTTCTAGAAGAGGTGGCCGTATTTCTTGTATTTTAGCAATTTGTTTGGCTTCTTTGCTTAATTTACTTTGGATAATTATTTTGGTATTTTTTTAAATTAATTTTTTTTTATTTTAACTTTGAAGGCACTTACTGCTATTATGTGCTTTATTTATTCAATTTTTTCTTTTCTTTGTACAAATATTGGAGGGAATACATCTACCACAAAATCATGCTTGGATTTTAATTCCTTTAAGCCTTTATTTTTTTCCTCAGAAGACAATAGAGTTTGTCTATTTATTTTAATTTAAAAAAGATAAAACTTTTTAGTCTTTACAATTCTGTGAAGGCCAACTTCAACAATTTTGTGCTTTAACAAATACAGTTGTTATTTGGTATTTTGTTGGACTTTTTGGAGCTTTAATTATTTGTTTTGGATTATTACAATTTATTGCTTCTAATTCTGCCAAGTAATTTTTTTTGATTTTATTTTATAAATTATTAAAAGTTATGCACACATTGGGAATGAGGCACGTTATGATGAACTTTTGGCTATTTTAAATTCTGAAATGGCCTGTGAAAATTATCATTGTAGAAAACCACATAAATTTCCACCACAGGAAAATGACAGATCTCGACCTTCTTATAATACTGCTGATTATTACCTGCGAAAATTTGATTATAATTTGCAACAATTTCCACAAGGTAATCACATTTTAATTTAAAAAATTTCTTTTTAAGAAAATTATCGAAATGATGTCAATTATTCAACTGCTCCGCCTGTAAAGCCTCGTTTAAAGTCAAGACAACAAAATCAAAATATTGGTCATTCTACTAAACGTCATTCGTATCAAAGTTCTTTAAACGGAAGTAATAATTGGTTAAATCGAACAAATGAACAAAAATGGAAGGAAGAATTGTATTAATTTAAATTAATTTTTGTATATTTGTAATTAATTTTAAAATTAATTTCTTAAGACATTTCTCATATCACTTATAGGCTAAACTTAGTAAATAAATAATGTTTTAAAAATTGAAAAAACAAATTAATTTCAATCAAAGGTTTAGCCTATTATCATTTATTGCTGCCATATTTATTCTCTTTTTTGCAATAATTCCCATATTTTTGATTTTTTTTTAAATTCTTTCTGCTTTACTTTAATTGTACTTAAATGTTTTAAAAAATTATTTTAATTAGTTTTAATTATTTTTTATTGATTGTAAATCGAAAATATATTTTTATTAATTCAATTTTTTATTTTCATTTTAAGATTTAAAATGTCTTCTACAAATTTATTAAAAAAGGGAATGAATTTAAAAAGTAAATTTAAATAAATCTTAATTTTATATTTTAATTATTTTTAGAAAGCAGACCAAAAAGCAAAGCTGAGAAACTTGCTGAACGCCAACAATGGATGTTGTCTTTTAATCACAACGATTTTGACAATCGCCAAGTCCAAAACGATGAAGATGATGAAATTGGTGTTAAAGGAGTTAATAAAAAATTAAAAAGAAAAACTGCCAAAGCGGAGATGGAGGAACTTTTTAAAGATCTTGATGGTGAAGAGTTAGATGATGAAGAAGAGTTGGCAGATTTTTGTGATCAAAACAATGAAGATGTTGCTGATATTGAAGGAGACGACAATTTGTCAGTTCAAAGTTCTGATTATGATATTAACCAAGATGGACATTCTTCTAAAAATTTAGGTATTTAACTTAAAAAATTTTATTTAAAATTAGAATATTTTTAGTCGAATTAATTTATTTTGTTTATATTTTTGTGTTTTAGAGTCACTTTGTGACAATGAGAATGAAAGGCTTGCTAGTGATGATGATGTACCGCCTGAGGAATTTTCATCAAATCTTCATGAAAATACAAATGTTGATGAACAAATTTCAAAAAAGAAGGTTCAAAATGTTTGAATACACCTATTTATTAACTTAAATATTAATTTTAGGAAAATCCTCAGCGAAAGAAAGCCTCGAAAAAGAAAAGGGATGCAATTAAACAAAAGAAACTGATGGAGACGGACAATGGAGTTTATCGAGTTCAGAAGGGGTAAAATTATAATTTTAATAATTAATTAAAGTTCACAAAGATTTTGGAACTTCATCTTTTAAATTCTGTTTGCCCTATTTTTTTTAATTTTTAATGACTAGATATTATTTTGTGGTAATTAGAGCCAAGCTTTGAATTTAGTTTTTTCATATTTGCTTAAAAATTCCTTCTATTTAGTCGAATAGGTTTACATATCTCATTGAAGGCTTTCCATCTCACTTATTGTTAGTAAAAAAATCGGTACTTATGAAGATGGAGGTGCCCTTTCTGCGGACTTTTTTTGCGGACTTTTCTTCCCTTCTTTTAAATGTTTTACTTGTAGCAACTAACTGTCAACGCCACTCCCCCATTATTCTTCTTACCTAAGATTGTACATAAAGGTCAGATTTTCTTCTTCCTCTCCTTCCTCTATTTGCCCTGTGGCAAATTCAAACAAGAGACATTGATGAAGAGAAGATTAATTTTATAATCATACACTTATTTTTTGCCTTCGAAAACAATTTAAACAAAAAAAGAATTAAATAAAATTGATTTGGTGTATAACATTATGAATTTGTGTGTAAAAACATTACATTCTTACTTCTATTTTAAAAATAATGAACAACTCAATTAATTTTAATCTTCTCTTTATCAACAATATCTCTTATTTGAATATGCCAAGCTCAAACAGAGGAAAGAAGGAAATCTGACCATTTTGTACAATCTTAGGTAATAAAAATAATGGGGGGGGGACAAGGTTTGAAATTACCCGCATTTCTGTTCCACAATAACATATTCTTTTTCTATGAAGTATTCCGAGATCAGTGATCCATAGTCGAAATTCATCATCGGATAATTGAAATTTTAGTTAAAGTAAAATTTTTAATTGATTGTAACATTTTTACGCTTATATATTCAAATTAATCGTGAACACATATTTTTCAAATTGGCATAAAAAATAATACTTTGACAGTTAATTGCTACGCGCAAAACTTGCTGAAAGCAAAACAACCAAAACATTTAGAAAGAAAGGAAGAAAAGTCCGCAAAAAAAGTCCGCAGAAAGGGCACCTCCATCTTCATAAGTACCAAAAAATCAAGTAAGTATAAAATTTTTTGTATATTTTAGCGTTACTCAATTCGAAATTGTATCTTTGGACAAAAGAAATGCAACCAACACAGACAGTGAATCTGAAACTGATGAGGAAGATGAAGGGTCTTTAATGTGTTCACCTTCTTTTATTCCTCTTGATGACAATAAAAAAATTAACAAAAATAAAAAAGTTATGGCACCTCCAAATATTGGATTTAGAGAACAATTATTGAGAATATCTACAGCAAATAAAAGGAAAAAACGGCGTTAAAGTTTGAGATAGAATTTGAATGAAATGTTAATAATTTTTTGGTTAAATAAATTTTATTAAAAAATATTTTTTAAATATATTTATTGTTATTTTTATTAACCATTTATTTTTTTATTTTTTAAATTACATTAAATTCACATATTTTAAGTTCTCAAATATATTTATTTTTAAATTATGGAATTGTTGGCATCACTTAGCGTATCTTCAGATGCACCAGAAGGTGCGGAGCATCCACGCTTAGCTGGTTACAAAAATTTAGGAAAATTTGAGGAAAATCAGAGACAACGACGTTCTGATGACATGCAAAAACGAAACCAGTAAGTATTAAATACTATAAATAGTAAAATAAATTTAATTTGGATTTCTTGTTGGAATTTTAAATTTGTTTGTAATCGACCTTAACAACTTTATTTTTAGGAGTCGTGATGATTGGCTTATGCGTGGAAGGTATATTGTAGAAGATGAAAATATGGAGGAATTAAATCCGGAACAAGTTAATCCGTTTGCTCCACGTCCACGCCGCAAATGTCATTTTAAGGACATGCTTATGTTTAGTGATTGGCTTGTTGATATTCCTGGTTTTATTTTTACTAAATATTTTTTATAAAAAATTATTTGTTTAGAAACAATGTCAAGTGAATGGACTCTTATGGCTGCTCCTGTTGGGCGCCGTTGTTTGGTTGTTGGACATAGAAACAAAACTAATATTTTTTATAAAAATGGTATTTTTTAAACAATTCAATTATTAAAAAATTTTTAAAGGATATCTTTCTCTTCAATTTGAAAGTACTTTGCCTGGTGGAGGGCCTATTCATCCTGAATGTTTTGTTTTTTTATTTAATTTTTTAAATTTTATTTTTAAGCTCTAACGATTTTGGATTGTATTTGTGAAAGTAAAAGAGTTACTAAAAATTCAAAATTTTATGTTCTCGATTGTAAGTTTTTTTTTTGAAAATTTTTTAAATATTTTTTAGTATTATGGTGGAATAACAAAATGTACACAGACTCAGATTTTACTGTGCGGCAATTTTTTATGCGTTCTAAAATTGAGGAATTAAATATTGAAAATAAAAATGCTAATAAAGCCAATCAATTTATTCCATTACCAACTTGCCCATGCTTGCCTGAGGCAATGGCCGAATTTATGAAAACTGAATTTCCTTATGAACTGGACGGATTACTCTTTTATTTTAATTCGGTTTTTAAATTTAAAAATTATTTTAAATTTTATTTTAGGGGTTCTATATTTCCGAACAAACACCTTTAGTTGGTTGGCTTAAACCTTGGATGTTACCAGGTATTTTTTTAAATGTCCAAAATTAAATTCATTTTCTAAAAAACCGTTATTCTCCAGAGTTGGGGTTTCTGTAAAATTTTTAATAATTCTGATACTTTCTACAGTTTTTATTAAATTAAGAGATTCTTGGGGTTCCAATTCCTGAATATCTTCAACGAAATCAACATTCTCAAGTATGTTTTAATTTTTATTTTAAAAAATAATTTTTAATTAAGGATTTTATTCGAGATTACAACAGAGCTTTTGGTCATTTAACTTCAACACAAATAAAAGAAGAAAAGGAAAGGAAAAGGCAAGAAGATGAGAAGAAAAGACAAAAAAAGGCTGAAGAAAAGAAAAAACAAAAGGAGGAAAAGAAGAAAAAATGGGAGGAAAATAAAAATAATTCTGATAAAATATTAGAAGAAAATATGGATTTGGAGGAAGATAATAATGAAATTAAAATGGCTGAAAATGCTAAAATTGATAATGATGACATTTAAAAAGTGCAATTTTATAAATATCAGAGAAGCTATTGAACGTATACTGTTTTTAGTATATATTTTAGTGTGTGATTATGTTTAGAACTGCTGATAAATTATTTTACTTAGGATTATCAGCTACAAAAATGTTAACAATTCATTTCGTCTGATTTATTTTAAAGAGTTTAAAAGATAATCAGTTTTTCTAAACATATCCACACTGTTGTTTGATAATAATAAAATGACCAGATTAAATTTTTATTAGCTCAATATTTTAAATTTAAAATATCTGAAATAATACATAGTATTTTCAAATACTAACTTTGATCGGCTATAACTTTTTATGATTGATCCAATACGATTATTATCCTATAAGTATCCTAAATCATACGAAAGCCCTCGATAAGCGGTATTTCTAACTTGATGGAACAGATCTGATCACTCGTTAAAAAGTTTGTGTCGATATTATGTTATCTTAATATCCTGGAACCTACTGCTATTCGTTAGCACTTAATTGGTTAGTACTTAATTATTATTTAATTATTAGTAATCATCAATTAATTATTAATAATGCTTAATAATTAGTACTTAATTACAATATTGGTGTAATTAAGTACGATATATTATATAGGTATGTGTATATTACCTTCTTCAGTCGATCAATAACATTAACATTGTTTAATAACATTCCAATGTCCTTTATCAAATTCTCGATCTTTTATTTACAACCTTCAAAAAGCAATTTACTCCGATTATTAAATATATATAATCACCGCCGCAATCTAACAGAGAAATGATTCGCATTACATGTACATTCCTACCTATACAAAAAAATTTGTTTAACAATCTACATACCTATTCATGCATTCAAAAATGTTTCTTAAATTATTACAGTATTTTAAATCGTCCATATTAATTCTCTACTGTAATAATTAACCCTACAAAATTTTTTATGTAAATACATATTTAACATACTAAATATGTAGACAAACGAAAGCAAAGAGGCCCCGCACGTATTAACTATCAATTTTGTTTATTCTCCATCTAGATGTTTTTATCTAATCATTTTTGCACAATCGTCTCCTCATATAGAGAAATAATTGATAAAAAGACCAACGCAACCGAACAATTTCTTATGATTTAGTAAAACTATCTGAAATTTCAAATCATAAACTTCTGAAACCTGAATGAACGTATGTTTCATTAATTTCACTACTCGTTTCCCATTAAGAATAACTTCAACTTATTGTTAAGCAAGATCGGTTAAGGTCAACTATATAATTAATTACAAGGAAGAAAAAAAGTGGTGAAAAAAAATGAGCCGCACCAGTTGTCTATGCTGGATCGACTGTCACGGACGTGGCAAACAAAGTTCTCTTTTAGTTTGGTAACATAGAAAGATTAAATGTGGAAAGAGTTATTGGTAAAGATAGATACAAATTCTTTTTGAACACTGACAGACGGTCTCTCTCAACATTAAGATCAATTCCTCTCTAATTCGTTTGTGAAAGGGAGAGATTGCGAATTAATATCTAGAGTATTGAAGAATGAAAGGAAAGTTTTGCTCTCATTGAGCGGAAGTATTTTGGGAGTTTTATGTATAATATTTTGGGTTTTCATCTCTACATATTTCTCTTCGCTGAAATTTGGTCAATGCTACGGACACTAGTATACCCTTCCTATCTACCCCCCCCCCCCCATTTTTCCTTCTAAACAGTTCGTTTAGTATAAAGGGCAAACCTCGACGACCACTTCCTCCTCTAATATCTATTCTTTTCCTTTCAATGTTTTAGTCAATCACCATAGCATTAGTGGTCCGTCCATCACCAAGTGGTATCGAACTACGTATTATCATTGTATTCGAATGGAATTAGCGAACGAGAGGATGAAAAAGAAGGAAATTGGAAGAGGAAAGGAAGGCAAAAGGACTGTCTTTTTCACTATATAACCCCCTTTACGAAAATACATACTACATTCCAATGCATCAGCAATGTCCCCCAACTCATAGGCAAAAATCGGGGGGTCTTCCTCCCCAATTCAATCTCGTCTTTTTCCTCCTACCCCTCCTCGTCCACGACTTCCATCTCCTTCATATATACACCTATCGCCCCCATTCACCTTCACCAACACACACACAGTTCTTCCCCCTCCTCCTACCCGTCGCTTTCCACACATCCAAACGAATCCCTTTCCTCCCATATCAGTCAAGTCATTCATTCCTTGCTTACTTGCCTCATTTGCTCTCTAAAGGAATGAACGGTCTAAATTTGTCTATAATAAAGGTAATATTTTTGTTTTAAATAATTTTTAAATAATTATTTCACAAAATTAAATGCAAATTTTAGTTTATTCTTTATTTAAAAAATTTATTTAAATGCTTAGTTTCAAAAGAAAAAATTACCAAAAATTTTGTGGCAGGAGGACGGGGTCTGGCTTGGTTCTCATCTAGTATAATACTTAGAAAACTGATGAGATCATACCAGATCACATTCGCTTGTTATTCAAAATAATACTTCTAAACAACAAAATTGCTTGTAGTTAAGTTTTTATTTTATTAAAAATTATTTTCCTAATTTTAGAGGAACACAAAAAATTATTTGAGAAATATTTCTAAAAAATTGAAAAAATTTTTTAATTTATTTAAAGCATTCTTTTTCTTAATTTATTTGGATTTTGTGTTGGAATTGTTTTTGGTATTTTTCCAGTTGGACATCCTCCCCTCTTCTGTTGTTGTTGTCGTCTTTGATGTTTAGCATTAAGTTTTGGGCTATTATTGCCTGCAGCTGATGAACTAGTCGATAATGTTACTTTTTCCTAAAAAATTTAAAATAATTTTTAAACCAAAAAATATGTATTTAGAAAGATTAATTATTAATGATAACAAAAAAAGTTATGGTTTCTCGTTACTCTTGCCTCATAAGTTTTGGGCTATTATCTTTTTTTGGGCTATATGCAAATCTAACATTATATGCTCGAATAATTGCCCCCTCTCAAATAATTACTCCGTCTAGCGAGAGGTTGAAATAATAATTACCCAGGGTACTTATTCGAGCATATACGGCACATTGTCTAAATGCAAATCTAACAACCTCCGATAATATTTTGGGTTGGGTAGTTAAAGTAAATAAGTTCTTTAAAAATTCCAAAAAACAATTATTTACAATACCTGATCAGTTTTCACACTAAGTAAATCCTCTTCATCCACAATTCCATTATTATCTCTCTCCTCCTCTTCCTCCAAAATAATTTTTCTTTTCAAAGGTTTTTTTATTTCATTATTAAATTCTTCCATTAAAATTTCATTTCCCCCCTCATTTGTTGTTCTAGTAAATAAACCTCCACCAAAATCTTCTTCTTCCCCAATTATTATATCTTCATCAAATTCTGATTCATCACTTCCAAAATCTTCTCGAACTAATTTTTTAAAATAATTATTTATTTTCTTGTATTTTAATTAACCAATTATTCCAATTTTTTGTCCCAACCATCTAGCTTTTTGAACTACATCATCTTGCATTAATTTAAAACACATTGCAATTAATGCCATACCAAAAAGTAAATAAAGAGCACAAACCTTTATTTTTGAAAGTTTTTTTAATTATTTTATTTGGTGATAAATAGGGTTGCCGGCCCGGTCCGAAAGAAATTTTGGCCCAAAAAAGACTCGGTCGGGCCGGCCCGATAAAAACGAAGCCCGAGAAAAAGATGACTCGAACGTCTGCCCGACTCGAAAACGGCAACCTTAGTGTTAGATTTAATTTACAATTAATTTTTCTTGGGAGCCTTCATCCAATGACTGTCCAGGCACTATATCTCCAAATCCAATTGTGCTTAGGGTTATAAACTTAAATAAATTATTTAAATAAATATTTTATTTTAAATATTTTTACAGAATAATAAGCTCCATCGAAAAAATTCCAATCCTCCCAAATTGAAAAAAGAACAGCGCCCCCAGCAATAAATAAAATTACAGTAATTATTCCAACAGAAACGGGCATCTTTTCTCTGTGAATTCCACCACCACCCATACTTGGATTGCTTGGAATGGTCCCTCCTTGCCCGATACCGATACGTCTTGAACGGAGTGATTCTGAATCACTTCGAAGTGATCTGATTTCGAGTCTAAAAAAGGAATATTTATTAAAAATTAATTGAAGGACGGGAACTCGCCCTTATCAGGATTAAAACTTTCTTAAAAATAATTTTACTTACATATTTTTAATAAAAGAACATTTTTTTAATTTTTATAAAAGATTTAGGGAAAGCACTGCCAGAAAATAATTTTTAATATTTAAAACCTTTTATTTGAAGACCCCCCACCTTCACTTTGCTCTTTCTGACTTAAACTTCTAACAATAGATAGTTCAGTTATTGTTGTTGAATCTGGTCTATTTTGTTGTTGTTTATTAATTATTTTTATTTTATTATTATTTTCAATTAAATTATTTAAATATTCTTCTTCCCCTTCCTCCTCTTCCAATTCTTTTAAATTTAAAGGATATTTCTTTTTTAATTCTTTTTCATCTTCATCATTTTGTAGTTCTTCTTCATCGTTTGATTGTATTGCTGATAACTATTTTTATTTAAATTAAAGGTTAATTCTGCAATATTTAAAATATAATTACTTTATTTTGTTTAAATTCTCCATTATTATTTACATTATTAATAACCCTAATTTTAGGTAATTGTTGTTGTCTATTAGTTGGGAAAGGGGTTGAAGGTTTGTTAACATTTTCTTCATTTTCTCCATTTTTTAAACGTTTATTTCGAATTAAAGAACCAACATTTGCTGGAGTACTTAAAAATAAATTAGTTATTAATGAATATATGTCCAATCAAAATCAAAAGAAATTGAGAGAAAATATTTGGAACAAGTAAGCTAAATTATTTAAAAATTATTTTACTTATTCTGTTCAGAACCTAAACCATGTCTGTTTTAATTAAAAATTAGTATGTATAGACTGTTTCACAGACCAATAAATTTAATTTTCTTTTTTTTTTAATTTTTACCTAAATTTTTTATTTGGTTTCCCAATTCTGAGTGATTGATTCCTTAAAAGAGGAACTTGTTGTAATGAACGTGAAGGTTTTATTGAAGATTCTCTGTCATTAACTAAAAGTTCTTCGGATTCTTCAAATTCTTCTTCTTCTTCTGTTATTCCTTGTTTAGAAGGTTGGGGAGATAAACGGTGTTGTTGTTGAGATAAAATACCCAAAATTTAATTTTTAATTATATCTTTTATTCATTCCCTTCCCCTCACATTACCTCCTGCTCCTCCTCGACTACTTCCACCTTTTTGACGACAACATTTTCCTAATCCAAAAGTTGTTGCTGCACTTCTAGGCCCTCCAATTTTTTGTTTTCGTCTTTCGTAAGAACAACTTGATGAACTCATTGAAGATGGCATCTTTACAACAAAAGGGGAGGAAGGGGGTAGAGGAGGTTGTTCCCCAATTAAATAAGGCTGCTCTCCCCCGTTTAAATGAGTTACTGCTATATGCTTAAATTAAATATTTTAGATATTTAAAAATATTTTCTAACTAACCCTTTTTTGAACACGTCCATGTAAAAAGGTATTCCTTAAATGGATAAATTAAGTTTAATCTCCTCTACTATTTTAATTATTTCTTCTTACTTTTTAAGTAACAATTCCTCTTGCTGTAAGGCTGGTATTCTTCCAAAACTTGACTTTCTAATTCCTCCTTTATCAGTATGAAAAGACTTCCAAGATTTAATACTCTTTGTATCCCCTCCACCTCCTCCTCCACGTCCACCTCTAATGCTTAAACTAGCATTACGGGCCAACATCGAATTAAATCGGCGAGTTGCCGCGCGACCGGAATGAACTTTTGTTTAGATTTTTGAAATTTATTTAATTAATTTTACCTCTCCGAACATTTACGGGGGCATTTGGGTGATATCTAATTGTGAGTGATTGACATTTAACTCTATGTCTTTCTGCTTGCCAACGACAATAGGCACAACAGACTTTAAAATATAAAAAGGTAAAGACTTGTGCTAAACTTTCAGCAATATTTGCTAAACATAAAAGCATTAAAGGAATTCCAAATGTTGCGTAAATAATTGTTAATCCACGTCCCAATGGAGTTTTGGGGCAAATATGTCCGTAACCTGTTTAATTTTGAATTAAAATTTAAAAAATTGAGAACACATATACTTTCTAATAATTAATAAAAACTAAAAATAATTTAGTGTTTGAAATGTTATAAAGTTTATATAAGCTACATATCTGTGTTTATATCTTAAATGGATAGTTAATCTTTCAAACCCAATTAACAAAGAGTTGTTATTTAATTAATAAAATTATATTTCTTTATAAATTTTACCAATAGTTGTAAATACAGTAATGGAATAAAGTAAAGCACCAGAAAACTAAAAAATAATAATTTTTAAAAATATTTATTAAATTACCGTCCATTGAAATTTTAATTTATTTTCATTATCCAAATTCTTTTCATCATAACCCTCATAATTTACTGCAAATACAAGTTTTTGTTCATATTCTTTATAAAGTTTATGTGCTTCTCTTTTTAAATCATCCTCTCTAATTACTTCACTTTTTTCAATATATTCATAAAGACGATGTACTAACTGTTATTTAAATTTAATTTAAAAATATCTAAATTTATTTACTTCCCAAGTATCATTTGCAATATGTCCTTGAAATTTTTGTTCTTCTTGATATTCAATTGCTCGAAACATAAATGCACCTTTTTAATCTCTTTAAATATATCATTAACAAATAACTACCTAATACAGCATAAACAGCTACAAGAAAACATAATCCAACATGCGAAATTACAAAAATAACAAGCTAAAAGTATTTAAATTAATTATTTTAAAGATTGTCTCATTACCTTTTTGCTAACTAATGAAGTATGAATACAACAACTTCTGACACTTCCAAGAATTGACATCCAAAATTTTATTAAGAAACCAAGAAGTTTTTAAAGGAAAATGTTATTCTTTTTGTTCTCTATAAAAATCCAAGCTTTTTCACTTAAAGTAAAATATATGTAAACATTTTAAGACAACAAAAATGGCTTAAACCGGATGAAAAAGAACACGGACTTCCTGAATTTTTCTTTTCTAGTAAAAACTAAAAAGGAAGAGAATAACAATGTTGATTGATGACAATAACACAAATAAAAATTTCAAAACTCTCTAGGGATTGAGGAAAACTCTGACTACATACTTGCTTTGATTGTGAAAAAAAATATTTTTTGTAGGGAATTTTCTTTAAAAAATATTCCAATTTAATTTTTATATACTAACAAATAAAAAATAATAATAACGAGTATTTTAAAAATAAAAAATAATTTAAGAGGGGAGATCAATAAAATAATGTTAGCAAAAATATGTAGGTAGGTCAAAAATTTAGTAAAAATAAGGCAATTTAAAACCCCCAAATCCTCGTCCAAATTTCATTCATTATTTTCACTTTCAACTTCTTTTTGTTCAAGAATAGGTATTTGTTTTGAATGAATTTGAAAGCGTCTAAACATTTTCTCTAAATCCTCCAAATCATTTCGTACTTTTTCTCTCATGTAAAATATTGGGCAATCCCGGCTAGCACAAAAAACCTCGTCTTGTAAAAGACCCGCACAATTTTGACATTCTGTCCATAATCTACTAAATCGATGTTCGGCAGAACGAATAGCAACAATCTTTTTAAAGAGAGAAAAAATTATTTTTAAAAAATTAATTCAAAAAAACTTTCTCTAAATAAATTTCTCTCATCTTTCCAACACAATTTGAACACGTTGCTGGTGCTTGTTCTTCTTTAAAATTCATTGGTGCTTTACATCCTAAACATGTTGCTTTCTTTACCAAATATCCAGCCATTAAACCACTTTTTAATTTAACCATTGTTTTTTTCTTTGTGTGATCTCCACCTTTAAAATTAAGAAAAAATAATTAAAATAAATATAAAATTAAAAACTAGTAAAAATTTGTTCTGCTCGATTATCCAAAAGTGGATCAAAAATACGTGCCATAGGCTTTACAAGTTGATGCTCCAAATAATAGGTCGTATCAATTGGAATGTTATTTTTAAGAACCTTTAATTTTTATAAATTTTATTTTTTCCCCTCAATTTCTTGCTATTTTCTTACCCATATTGGATCTTCTGCTTTCTCATATGCTGGAACATTTGCTCCTTTATTAATAATTACATAAGGAACACGATCACCAAGACGAGGTGCTGACCCGGGATCGCGTTTACGCATTCGTTCAGCTAGTTCCACATGTGCTTGTTTTGCTGCATATTTCTTGAATTAAAAAAAATAAATTTAAACATTTTTCAGATTTTCTACCTCGCCTTTTTTAGTCAATTCTTTAGTTATTGTAAGCATAGAAATATCTATACGGTCATTTAACAAATCAGAAATAACACCCTTTGCATATCTAATTGCTCCATCTTTATCTCGTTCAATTAACAATTTTTCTAAACAAGAATTTAATACACAAGCAACTAAAGGGCAATTATCTCTCCGAACAGTTTCTAACTTTAAAAACAATTTTTAAATTAATTTTTAATCAATTAAATAGCCTACCCCTTTACAATCCATTTTATCATGTTTTTCCTCTTTAGTCCAGAATAATCCAGCATAACGTTTTTTATTTATCAACAAATAAGGGAAATAAACTTTTTCAAATTCCAATTTAATTGGTTTCAGAAATCTTTTACTAATTTCTTGTGCAGCATGTTTCCCTAAAGTCATTGCCTCTCCAATTGTTTTAACACCAAATTTAACCATTACAGAATCTGTATCTCCATAAATAACTTTTGCATCAATAGGACAAAGACTATCAACCGCTCCAGTTTTATAATAACCTTGAAAAATATATTTTTTTAATAAAGTTAAAAAAGTTACCTTCAACCTCTTTCTTTGTTAATTCAATCATTTGTCGTCCAAATGCTGTAACAGATTGAGCAACTTCAGAACATGGTAATTTTCCTTTAGAAGCACCAGTAAATCCATAAACAGAATTAGCACTTATTTTTAATGCTAATTGTCGTCCATCTAATACCATTTTTCTAAATTAATAATTATTTTATTAAATTTCTTTTAAACTTACTTTAAAGGGTCAGTTTCCTTTTTCAGAGCCTCTTTTGCCTTTTTTCTAGCTGCCAATAATTCTTCAAGTACTTGAGGTAATAATCCTTTACGATGCTTTGCTGAAACAAAAAGATCCCCAGAAGGAGTTTTTATATAGTCAACACCCTCTACCATTCTTTAAAAATAAATTTTTAACAAATATCAAAAAATATACTAACTCATTTTCAGGTGGAGCAGTTTTCATTAAAGTTGTATAACAAAGATTGTGAGCAATCATAATTGACGGATACAGCGAAGCAAAGTCTAAAGTAGAGATAGGCTCGTTGTAAAAATCACAGACTGGTTCAATAACAGTAGCACCTTCATATCCAATTTCATCTCCGCCATCCCCCACATCAATTACTGGAAGGAAAATGTTTTTTTCTCGAGTCTTTGAAAATAATTAATTATTTAAATTGTTTAACTGTTAAAACCTTTCGAATTAACATGGAAAGAATTTTAACTTGTTGTCCTCTTGAAATAAGGAAACTTAAAGGAACACCAGTAACACGAGCCATTTCCATATAATTAATAAAAAGCATAAGTTTATCCAACAAACGGATAGGCAAATAAGCATCTTTCATACAATAAACGGCTAAACGTCTTCTATCCTTCGCAGTTCCTGCCTTTAAAAGATAATAATTTTAGATGTTTAAGGGAAGGAAACCTGAAGTTCGGGTATAAAATTATAAGCAACATCCTCCTTCTGCTCTCCAAGAAAGAAATAACTAACATTATTTAATGTATAACTACGAAGTTTATAGTCACGTAATATCAACTAAAAAATACCTAGATATTTAATACTATATTAAAAACCAACTTGTAACACATCAAATATAATACGTCCATCCATTGAACACATTTTATTTACTCGATTACCCATTTGTTTTGATTGAAGACTGACATCCCTTTGTTTGCAAATATTACCTTTAACACGACTTAAGTAACAAACACGTCCATCAATCTTAATTAAAAAATTGGAAAAAAGTCATTAAAAAGTTAAAACCTTCAAATGTTTTGCTCGATCCATTATATAAGGCAAATCAAAATTTTGAATATTATACCCAGTAATTACATCTGGGTCAACAGTTCTAACAAAATCTGACCATTTAGAGAGTAGCTCCACTTCATTACGACATTCAATTACTTCAGACCCAACAATCGATTCACAAGTTCCCAATACAAAACAATTACGAATAAAAGGCTCTGACTCCCCTTCCAACTTAACCATATTTGCAATTTGAATAATTGGATCTCGGGAAGCATCTGGGAAAGTCCCTAAAAATATAAAATATTAAAATTAATTTAAAAATAGGGCAATCCACCTTGTTGTCCCAAACATTCAATATCCAAACTCAATGTTCGTAATGGTGCAACACCTGACCATTCATGTGAACTTGCATCGTGAGCTAATAAGAAATCAACAGAAATCATTAACTTAATAAAATAATTAATGACTAAATTCGAATTAAAAACTTCGAATTGTGAACAAGTTGTTTGTTTGTTCTCTGGGACAATATCGTATTTACCAGAAGGGCATTCAATCCAACCGCAACCAACAATCCCTAAGTCAGCCATAAAACAAACCTAAAAAGTAATAATAAATTATTTAGTAAATCTCCAACTTCATAATCCAAATTAGATTCAAATGCATGACAACTTTCTGTTCTTTTTAAATCAACTGATTCTGAGGCAAGCATTTTGTCAATAAGATATAAGGCACCTCGGCCTGAAACATAAAAGATATGTAAAAGCTGTCTTTAAACATACATGCAGTAAAAAGTCGATGAGAACTGATAAATATTTTTAAAAAATTTCTTTTAGTATTTGTGTTGCTGTAATAATATAGGCTCGATCCTTGTACAATTTCAATTCCAGTCACCGTCCCCAAACCCCCCTTAATTTTATTGAATTTTAACAAGTTTTAATCAGAACCTTGATATGCGAATTTAAAAGCTCAATTGTTTTCTGTATATGTTGTGCACCAAATGAAGGTGGAACGGATGCAAAGAAATAAGGTCGATATCCAAAAACACAAACAGCTACTGAGTTTCCCTTATCTGTTACACCAAACAAACGCATCACGACAGCATTTGATTCTAAAAATAAAACGGTGTTTAGATTATATTTATGCAAACCTATAAATGAATCAATATCCATAAGTTGAAACAGCACAGGCTTATCGTTTCGACCATCCTTTATCAAACTATTAACTTCAGGGCGTTCCCAGTATGTACGAGCTACAAAACGTTATTTTCAATTTAAATTTAAGACGAACCTCGGTTAACTGTCCCATCGCTAAAAACTTAAGAATATTATACAAAATTATAATAACTTGTTTACCTGCTTGGCCCTGCATTATCATTCCCACCATTTAAAGCTCCTCCAAGTGCTGCCAATTTATTCACAAATCCATTTTTGTCATCCTCTGGCCTAAAAAATTAAATGACAAAATAATTAAACAAAAACAGACTTTGTACGCTTTGCATAATGAATGGGACGTGGAGCAGACCTTTTCTTTGGAGAAACTTTTTTCTTAGGTGACATAGAGATAAAATACTACAAATATTTTAACTAAAAGTGAAATGTCTAAATTTATAAAAATTAATTTAACAAAATATTTTGAATTAATACAATTCAGTATATTGGTAGAAAAAAATTATTTATTTATCAGGAAAAAAAATAAAAAGATTAATGACTAGATATTTATGGACAAAAAAGATTACTTTCATTTGTAAAAATTAAATGAGATCAATACAACAAAGCTCGAATTTTGGCAGCTTCTTTCTCTCTAAAATAAATATGAAATAAAAAAATTATCTCAAATATACTTTTGTTTGTGATGTGAATGAGATGACACAGGTTCAGGCCCAAACAATTCATTATAACTACAAAATAACTGTTTTAAAGGTTGATCAATTGTGTCCTTAAAATTAAAATTATAACAATTAAAAAAAGTAAAAACAAACAGAGAATTGAGAACTACAAATTCTTTTATTTTCGTGTTTTATATTATTTCCGGTATATGCCTAAAAAATTAAAAATTAAAACAAAATTAAAATACACAAACAATGCATTTAAGTTGCCAGTCCCCAACTTCTTCATTCCAATTAACAAATTGTTCAATATAATTCATTTGATTATCGGGAATAAAACTATCAATAACAAGGTTTGCATAAAGCAATTCTCTCTGTAATTGTCTAATGCTTTCAAGGAGAGATTCTGTTTCTCGATGATGTTCCATTTCTTGATCTTGTAGTTCACTCTTTGCTTGCATATATTGAGTCCAAACCTTTAAAAACAATTTTTTATTATAATACTTCACCACACCTTTTTCAATTTTTTATTAAGACTTTGGGCTTGTTCTTGTAAACTATTACTTTGCTCTCCAATATCAATTTGTTCAGCCTGTTGGCTACGTAATCTCTCATTGAGAACTTGTTCAGTCTAGAAAAATAAGAATTAAAACTATAAAAATTCCGTACTTGTCGAGCATGTTCCAAATCTCTACAAATAAAATTTAAATTATAAACGGAATATTTGAATAAAAAATACCTATTTCCAGCATCTAACAGTTGTGCTTGTCTCTCCGCCTTCTCAATCATATTTTCCCCTCCTACAATTATTTGTCTTTCAATTGCTACTAATTTATGCATTAATTTTTCCCTTTCGCTTTTATTCCGCTTAAGCTCTTCTTCACGACTTAAAAGGTCATCAACCAAACGTTGATGCTCGGAATCAGTATTATTCACCTTAAAATTAATTAGCTTTTGTTATTAATATTATTTTACTTGTAAATCCAGATTCTCAGTTTCATTCTGTTTGTTTCGCTGTTGTTGCACATCTGCTTCTCCTAAAGATGTTTCTTTCAAAAAATTTTGCTCATCATCATCAACATCACTTTCTGCATTTGAACCTGGCTCTTAAAAATAACCGACAATAAGTGTTATTTAAAAATTTACCGGCTTCTTCTAATCTTTTCTTCAAAAGTTGAATCTCATTTTGGAATCGCCTGAGCAAAGCATCTTTTGGATCTTCGTTAATTCGCGCCATATTTTGTATACGCTAAAATTTAAAAGTTAGTAAATATTTCAAGTAAAAAAGGACACTCACCTTTGCTCGACTCGCATATCGCAATGTGCTTATTGTTTCTGCATAATTGTACGCTGCAGGCCCAATATTTGCAATCTTTAATTTGCAATATTTTCGTTATACATATTATTCAAAAGATTACCATGCATGTCTTTGAATTACCACCAAGAGAATCTTGCAAAATCCTTGTAAGTTTTGAATTTCTAAATTTTAAATTCATTTAGATTATTTCTATCTTTAATTTACCGGTATGGTATGTGGGTGCTTTTTGCATCAGCTAAAGCACTAATTACATTTCCAAGTGTTGACAAAGATAAGTTAATCTTTGTTGCTTCTTTCATTTGCTCTCCAACAACATTAGTTTTTGATTGTCTTTCACTTCCTGCCAAATCTACAAAGCTAAGTTTCCCTTGTGTGAGTAATTGCTTTCCATCAGCAATTATTTCTGAACACTCAATTGTTATTGTAAAAATTGCATGTGAGCGACTCGATTGCTCATTCATACTTGTTTTTCCAGTATGTCCTTAAAATTAAACAATTTTATAAAATATTATTGTCAGTCCTTAATCAACTATTTGCGTTGCCTAACTGCATAATTCGCATGCATTGGTCAGCACTTGAAACTGTGACACTCAATAAATCCTTTACATAAACACCGACATCCGCACGCTCCTTTATCTCTAAATATGAATGTACTGCTCCGGGGACTGTACGAACAAGCAAATCACGCAATTCTTCGTTGTATATTTCCATGTAGGAAATTCTGACAAGAAATCTGCAAAATTTATGAGATTACCTGATCACATGATTTAGCTTTCTCTATTTACCTCTTTTCATGCCCACTTTCGGCAATATGATTAAAAATGTGTGCAAAGGAATATTGAATAATCCCTTGTTCTCCTATATTTGGATCACCAGACATCTAAAATATGGAATTTTCAAGTTAATTTAGATTGGTTACATACTGTGTATGTCTTCCCCGTTCCAGTCTGGCCATATGCAAAAACTGTTCCTAAATTTTAAAAAATCAAAAGATTAACCAATTATTTAAACAAACCATTAAAGCCCTCAAGTACATTTTCAACCACTGGACGAGCTATACAATTGTAAACATCAGATTGGCAAGAATCCGGTCCAAATACTTCATCAAACTGATAACATTTAAGTAAATCGCTTTGACCATTTGAACTCGAAACAAGAATTGACTTTCCTGTGTAATCAACCTCAACTATTGATTGAACGAAACCAATTTCTTTTTCCCGTTTGCTGAGTGGACGACAACGAACAGAAACCTATTGAAAATTAGATTATTCTGATCGATAAAAATTTATATTTTACAAACCTTAACATTCTCAACTTCGCCCTTAGAATTTATTAGAGATTCATTCATCTAAATTTACAATAATATACAATTTAATTTGCAGATTATTAATAAATATTTAAAATAATTGTATACAATAATTGAAAATAATATATTTAATTTTATTATTTATTTTATTATCTAGATACTTGCAAACAAAATTAATGTATAAAGAGATCTTTTAATTCCGTAGCCTTAAAGAGTTTTTTTTTATCAAAACAATTCATATTTTTACATTTATCCCAAAAAAGGCTACGGCGTAAATATTAACTAGAGAAGTGAATTCATCTAATTATAATAATAAAAATTTCTTTAAGTATTGAATTCCTTAAAATAATGAAAGGTGTACATAATTTTAATTATTTTTAAAAATGAAAAGTAGCTAAAATTGTATTTTTACATTTAAAAAATACGTGGAATGAATTCTAAATTTATAGTAAATAAAATTCTGTAAAACTATTCACGTTTTATTTTTAATGTTTAACCGGGAATTAAATCCAAATATCATTTAATGCTTGCTGTAGCCAATTTTTCGTCAATCGACATTGTAACACTTGTCAGTTTTCCAGCTTCTGCAGCTACAGAAACAATCGGATCCATTGATAAAGGGTGTGGATAACTTTCAACAGGAGCAGTATCTCTAGGGAAGGTAACTGGGTGTGATCGCGAAGGTGAAGAAACATTTTTGTTAACAAATTCAAGTAAACGTTTTGCGTACTAAAATTGAAAAAAAATTTAGATAAAAAAATCTTTCATTAAAAAAACTTGTTCAGGCTTAACAGTTGAAGTATTCTCTGCTCCTGAACCATATTTAACAGTTTTTGCTGCAGATTCTGTTCGCTTTTTTACACCATAATAAGTCAGAATGTCAACTAAACCAATAAAGTAGACAAGTTTACGAGGAGATTCTAAAAATAACAAAAATATTTAATATGACCAACAAAAATACCTTCGCTTGACGGAATGCCAAAAAATTCATCATCCAAATTTAACCCCCCTGAATTTGTTGTAAATGCTCCAGCTGAATGTATTGGACTCTCAGGAGGTGAAATTTGTTCACCCCCAGAGTCTAAATCGGACAATTGTTGCTGATGAAGTTCTGCAACAAGTCCAGCCGGACACTCATCATCCACCGGTGATGAGGATGCAACACGTTCTTTCTGCAATTGTTGTTCTAATTCTATATCATGAATGCCAAGCAACAGAGAATAATCCATTAAATGCATTTTCGTTAAAAATTCTAATCAAAATTTAAAATATCACAAATATTCAAAATACCTGTATCTGATTTCAAAAGTTTCATCAACTGAGACTTAGCATCCCCTGGTAACATAACTTTGTAATTTTCCTCTAAAAAGTCATTATCCTTAAGAGTAGGTAACTGTTTGGATTTCTCTTTTTCACTAGCTTGACGTTGAACTGTGGAACCCTTTAAGAAAATTTTAAAAGAAAAAAAATAAAAGATTAAAAACCTTCAAATCATATTTTTTATGAATATTATATTTTCCACCAAAAATATTTCGCATAACGAGCATGTAAGTCTCACCAACATCAACAGTTATTCGATAAAGCCCTGAAATCGGGGAAAGTAATAAAATGTAAAACACTCAACAAAACCAAGATATTGCGGCAATAAAGTCTTTCCATGTTGTTCAACAACATATTCATGGTATTTCGGTAAAATTGAATGAATCTCAGCAATTGCTTCAGAGTCAATTACCTTAAGTTAAAAATTAACGAGAAACAAGTAAAAAACATACCTTTATAACAAATTGTTTGTCATAAGAAATAAACAATCTGCCTGAACTACTTGACTCATTTGGTTTTGATTCAGGTTCTTGCATAGTCAAAGAACACTAAATTTTTTGTAAATAAAAATCTTTTAAATAACAGAATTACCAGATATTCACTCTGATCAACACCAAACTGTTCGCGTATATTTCGGAACACATCTGAAGTTTTAAAATAAAATTATAAATTTTTATAACAGACTGGGGCAGTAGTCCTTGAATTTGAAATGGCTTGGCATTACATCCCTAAATAATTTTGTCTTTTATTTAGAAAATAAAAATCAGTTTAGTCTGCAAGTTTCAGTGCTTTTTGTATGTATAAATTGGAACGGAATCCACATTTCATTTTGTCTCTATATACAAAGGTTTAAACCAAGTTGAACCTTGCAGACTAGACTGTTCCATCGAAAAAAGACAATTTTAAATAAATTTACTTGTTAAATGAGTGATTGCTAACTTTAACTTTAGAATAAGCTTTAAAGTCATCTGGCATTAATAAAGCCGGAGGCGGAACATGCATCAATTCTCCAACCTTTTAAAAAATATTTTTAAGTAGAAAAAAGAATTTTTAACCATGTGATTGACTCCCCACATAAACACAGAAATTAACGGCTCTTTTGTACGAAACAATTTCCATTTTGGAACCAAAAGTTTTTTATGTCCTGTCCTAATTTTTCGGCTTTTGCTTTTTGACTTGCCTGCCATTAAACTTTTCAAATTTATTTAATAGTAATTAGCTGTTAAAAATTTAAAGAAATTAAAAAACAAAACAAAATACAGCTGTCTAGAAAAGATTGTTCATAATAGATAACATTTAAAAATTGACATTTGCGTACATTAATATGTAAACAAACAAAACATTTAAACGCGAATAAAATTAAAAATTGTTTTCAAATAATAAACAAAAATACTTTGGTGAAATTTAGTAAAAAATTAAAAAAAATATTAATTTATACAGAAAATAAATCACAATAAAATAAATTTAAATTGACTAGCAATAAAAGAGATCATCATTTACAATTAGATTTTTGTATTTCTGTACTAGATATTTGCGTTTTAGGAAATCGAGAAAATTTTCTTAAAAAAGCTACAAATGGCCCCGCATCAAAATCATCAAGATCTTGTGGCAGTGATTTTCCAAACGTTTCTGGTGCCATCATCTAAAAAATATTAAAATTAAAATTTCCTTATTAAAAATTCACCGAAAAAATTATAGCCACAACTGACAACAACGCAATTATTGCCTTTTTCATATTCTCATCTTCCTTAAAATAAAATTTATTAATTTTTAAAACTAAAACAAACAATTCTATTCAAATATGGAGCCAAAGAAGATCCAATTTCTCCAGCCGTTGAAATAAGTCCATAGCTCATATTTCTAACAGTAGTTGGTGCCATTTCGCTAAGAAGAAGAGGTGCTGATGCCCAAGCAATTGTGTTCATAATTTTGGCGATTAATGACAAAATCAAAAAAGGAGTTGTTCCCCCTAAAAATTGTTTGAGTGATTATTTTTTAAAAAAGAAGACACTCACGTGGAGTGAAAATTGTTAATCCTAATGATATAGTTTGGCCACTAATTGAAAGAAATGTAACTGTACGTCTTCCAAATATCATCAATAAAAGCATAGCAATAATTCCAGCTGGGATTTCTACTGCAGCTGATAAAAAGAATCCGACCATTCTATTCTCATGCATATCAACACTGTGTAAAGTTAATACCCAATATACAAAATTGAGGACAACGCTAAAAATAAAAGTTGTAGGTTGTTTTCGGGATTAACCCTAAAGATCGACACCCTCTAAAATACAAATTGATATAAAGGATTTTGATATAGGGGTGGTGGCTTGTATAGTATATTTAATAAAGAAAATTTTGAAACTTTTCTACCACTTTGTTGAAAGTAATGGAATTCTCCCCAAAAGTTCCTCATATATAATATTATTCAAAAGACCTTACAAAATATAACAATTTAATATCAAATGGAAAGCAAAAGAAGGCTTTTTGAACAAATCAAGAAAATTCCTTTTTACTCTAATCTTGTTTGTTTGATTAGAATCATTTTGACATTCCTCTAAATTTACTTTTGTTCTGTTTACATATTGGGATAAATTTAAATATCTAAAAATACAAGTATTTTTAATTTCAAAAATTCAACTAACTTTTGTACTTTTTCTGTTTCTTTATTTGTAATTAACCAATGTAAGGATTCTAAAAAATATATTAATAATTAAATATTTTCTAAAAAAAACCTGGAAAAGCCCAATAATATGATAATGTAAATAAACCAGGAAAAACAACACACAAATAGAGATACCGCCAATTAAGAATAAATTGATAAAGAATTCCAACAACAAAAATACCAAAAACCCAAACGAGTGAATTTATTAATGCCTGAATTGAACGAAAAGAAGTAGCAACAGATTCAACAGTTACTACATAACCAACAATAAGAATAGCCTTAAAAAATAATTTTATTCAAATATTCTAATTTATCCAATACCTGCCCAGAAGCACCCGACAAAAATCGAAAAACAAGAAATAAACTATAAGTTGGTGAATATGCACAAGCAAAACTCATTGCTGTAGTAAACCATAAAGACAACAAAAAAGTCATCCTTCGTCCGTAACGATCTGCCTTGAAGATAAATAAATAAAATTTTTAAAGAATTAATAATAACCAAATATGTAGCTAATGTAGAGGCTACTAAATTACCTAAAAATAAAAAAAATCTTAAAGGTTAAAAGAAATCCAAAATTTAACCAAACATAAAAGCGCCACTTGCATGATCTAGTAGGTATTTATTTTCACAATTTATTCCAAACTAAATTATTTTATTAAATAAAAATATTTTCTAATTAGTAACCTCATCGGCTAAAGATATATGTTTATCATAATAATTGTTAGTTGAATTTTCTAAAAGTAAATTAGTAGTAGTAGAACTCTAAAAATTAAAATTAATTAAAAAATTAAATATATAAACAAAACATTTGAAGGAGTAGGGGAACATTTATCGGCAGGGATTTCACCAATTAATGAAATTCTGAAAGAATAAAATATTTTTAAAGATTCTTTTACAAACATTGTTGTGAGGTAAGAGAACATATAAAAACAAATCAAAGACATTATGTAAATTAAAAGCTGAAAAAACAAAAATTATGGAGGGATTTAGTTAAAAAAACCTGATATGATCCACATTTCCCAAATTGAAGAAGTACTTTGTCTGCATCTAAATTTTCTAATAAAGAAATGGTGGAACGATCCCCAAAAGATTTGTGAACCATTCTCTCTAAAAATTAAAAATTTTAATTTCTGAAATTTTTTAAGAAAATATCCGAACAGAATTTGTTAATAAATTTTAAATTTGAGTGTTAAAAGAAAATAAGTTTACGTGATAATTAAAAAATATATATACTTTTAAATTTAACATGCGTAAATCAGCTGTAAAAAAATTGACAAAACAAAAGACTAAAGTTCTATTAAATAGGATGATTTATTTCATCAACAGGTGTTAGGATTAGAGTAAGGGAACAATTGTGGTTTTGAAAATAGGATTATCAAAAAAATTTTAAATCCCCGAAATTTTAAATTAAAAATTAGATAATTTAATACGGTGGGCAATTAACCCTAAAGATCACCACAACCTATTAAAGTCTGACTTCCTTAATTTGTAACTAATAATGTATGGAAACAATCTGTTGCTTTATTATCAATTTTCAAAATTAATTTTGTGAAAGCTCTGGCCAATTTTTGTATTTTATCAGTGTAATTCACAAAAATGTTTTGAAGAATTTCTGTTGATTTTGTTGGATTTTTATTTCACTTATCGACATTTGAGTGTTATTGTTATATGTAAAATTAAAGTTTTCAATGAAACGTGGCAATCTTTTTTTACAATTTAAACATTTGGTTATGGAGCCCTCTTACATTAGTTTCGCAAAATAATTTTGATAATAAACTTTTTTTATAACTTTCTCCATTTCAAGTTTTGACAGTCTAATATTTTAAAAGAAAATTAGTAAGAAAATTTCTTTTCAAAAAGGAAATTGTTCAATTTAAAAAATATATTTTTTTATTTATCAATTTCCTCATGTCAAAATTTGTTTTTTCAATAAAAATAAAAAACTTTTACTAAAAAGTATTTATGAAATAACAAGTAAATTAGTTCCTCTTTTTGTAATATTTTTTTATTTGTCGGGATAAAAATGTTGAATATTATAACAATTAAAGAGCATAAAATTCTCACAAAAACAATTATTATTTGCCTATAACAAAAAAGAAACACAAAAATTATTACTCTAATCGATCACGTCCTCTATTCCACCATTGCGAAAAAGTTTCTTTGAGTCTCCTATTTAATTTAAAAATAAATAAAAACCTTAAATAAAATAAAAATTTACCAATATCCAACAACCGTCCTACACCAAAGAGAATCCCAATCACGAATTGCTGGTCGAACATCCAATTGAGTAAAAAGTTTTGTCTCAGGATTTACTCTACCCACATCATAATAATCAATTATATACGTCACCTAACATAAATATATTTTTTACATAATTATATGTATAAAAATAAACATACATCATCCCCACACCTATCTACCAACCAATTGTGACGATCAAAAGGCATCTAAATTTTATTTTTATGAATCTCGTTATACAAAAATATTAAAATAAACTTACTTGATAACCTAACCAACCACGAATTCTAGCTCTTGGCGAATAGTTTTTTGCGTCTCCGTGAAAGCTTTTAAGCTTTGGAGTGCTGCATTCACTAGAAAATTTTGCCATTTTAATATTTGTAAGGTCTTACTAACGGATGAAGGGCTCTCTCCCACATAAGAACTTCTCGCCATGCATGTTCGTTGTTAGCATTATGGATTTGAATGATATTTTCCATATCTTTTTGATTGATCTGTTCATCTCTCCAACGCCAACCTAAAATCGTAAAATATTTTAAGTACTATTTAAAATTTATTATAACGAGAACCTTTCTTAACCATAGCATTCCAAAACATTTGAGGAGAAGGATATTCCCAGGTAATAATTTTTTCATTTGTGCATTCACTTGCCTTTGGAATTGTGGACTTCTCTCGATCTGTAGACAAAGAGAAAGGTTGATCAGGAGCAGGTTGTTGATTCGGACGGGGCATCTAAAAATTGAGAAATAAAATTAAATTTAAAAAAATTAATTTTCAGCATTCAAAGGATCAATTTCGTCCATTTTAGATGCAACAGGGCATCCTCCACCACTATTTGCATGCGGACAAGAACTTGAGCTGCTAGATTTTTCATTATGATTAGACATTTTCGATCTCAAACAATAAAGCTTAAATTAAAATAAATATAATTTAAAGAAAAACAAACAATCCTTACGAAATTTTATATATTTTGTATATTTTCTCCAAAAATATTACATTTTGTCAAATGTCATTTTGAATAATTTTACCGAAAGAATAATTCAGAAAAAATTTATTCGTGACTTTGAGGTTTTTATTTCTGTTTTTTTTGTTTTTAAGGGTACACATACAATGCAAATCTCATCTAACAAGTCATCAACAGCAAATTCTGCAAAAGAGTTCGATTCTGAGATAACTGAACAATTGAACAACACTTTAATTTCTTCAACATCTAATGAAGTAAGGGAAATTTCTAAAATCTCCTTCACTGTTACTAAACAAAAAACAACAAAAGTTGTTTCACAAAATAAATTACTTGGCAAAAGAGATCGAGATGAAGATGAAGAGGAGGATGACCAAAGCAGAAAAAGAGGAATTCTTCATTTGGAAAATGGTGTCCCTGTCGAGTGAGTTTATTTTCTTAATTGTTGTGGTATTTTTTGGTTGGGATTTGCGGCTCTATCTGAAAGGAGTGCCTGGTTGACTTTTTTCCTTCTTTTTTTAGAATGGCCTTTTTTCTTTCCTATTTTTCCTAACTTATCGTGTGTGAGTTGCAAAACAAGGAATTCAAAAATACGAAACAGAAAGCACGGTCTAGTCCGTGTTTTGATTGTTCTGTATTTTGGTCGTTCCGTATGTTGGCAAGCCCGTGTTTTGTCGTTCAATGTCGTGCCCGATCCGTGTTTTACACTGCCACGATTAAGATCACCAACATTTGTATTTTTCGAAGCTATTTTAGGTAAAACAACCAGAATTTTTTTGAAAAATAAATATAGAATGTATGAAAAGTTAAACAAAATCAGCAAAAAATGGAAAAAAATCCTTTTACACATTTTTACATTACGAAAAAATAAAGGAAAATAGACCATTCCTAGGCAGTCTAAGGAAATAAGGAAAAAACTCAACCAGGCACTCCTTTCAGATACGGTCGGATTTGCTAACTAGCCTGAAACTGTTGGTAATAAGGTTTTAGAGGTTGTTATTTATAAGTAATTGAATTTTTTCTAAGCGTGTCAAATTGTTTTTAAAACCTTGTGTATTCTTTTATTTATAAAATTTTATAGGTCAGGTGTACCTCGAAAAAAGGAAAAGATCTTCGTCATTCCTGTATTACGACTTTCAAATCAGGCTCAGATCGATAGGCTAAAGAAGTTAGTAGAAGAAGGAACTGCTTCTGAACAAGATTTGGCTCGATTGGCATTGCTTAGTGAATCTGTTGGTGATAATTCTGACGAGATTCAGATTCAACAATTTGAAGGGGTTTGTTCCTTTTACTCTGTCTAAAATAATATCTAAACTTTTTAGAAACATACTTTATTGCCAGCTTCTCATAGCGGAATGCCCACTATTGTCCTACCAGACGATGCTGATCCAGATTATGAGAGTATGCCTGTAGGTGAATTCGGTCTCGCATTTCTACGTGGTTGTGGATGGAAAAATGAGAGTTCGGCGATTGGAAGAACAAATGCGCAGGCTGTGCCTATGCACTTGAGCAAACAGAGACCTAAAGTATTTTTTTGATAATAATAAAATTTAATTATTTTTATTTTCATTTATGATTCATTTTTTAAACAATTTAGGGGTTGGGCCTTGGGGCTGCCGTTCCATCAACTGCTCTTGAAATTAATGCTTCTGGAAATGATAAATTGTCGAAAAATGGTACAAGTGATGAAAAGAATGTTTCGAGAACTCTTTGCAAGAATTCATTTGTTAGATGTTTAGGTAGTTTTGTATATTTTTATTTTTAAAAATTGCAAACGGATCCTGAAGAAAAGAATGGTTTTTAAATATGCAGACTAAAAATATCTCAATAATTGAAAGTTTCATGTTCTTGCACATCCCCTAAATTAATATTGAAAATGCCAGTGGTGGCTAATAAAAGTTTCTGATTTGTCAAAAATTTTCCGAATTAAATAATCTTATCATTCGACAAAACTCGATAACCTCTTTTATTATTTTCACATTTGAAAATTTTACTTATATTTTCTCATGTCTGTATTTCAAAAAGGAAGGCCTTCAGATTTGTGATTATCAGCTTTTATTACCCTACATTTGTGTTTACAACATTTAGGAGGGCATGGCATAACAATAAGTATCTAATTTTTGTATTTAAAAACACATTTCCTAAATTCGTAAACTTTTAAATGTTTGAGCAATTAACTTTAAATATTTAATTTTTCTCTTTTTAAGCTGGTATGAATAAAAATGTTTATGGCCAGGTAACAAGTTTGGATGTTGAAAACAGCAGTGTTTTTATTGAAATTGCTTGGCCTCCTGATCGTATGGGCAAAACTATTCGTGTTAGTCAATTTTCTCTGGAATTGGTCTCGGCAAACGATTTTAAACAAAAATTAAATGATTCAAATAGAATTAAAACAGAAAATGGGGCTAAGAAGACACGAAATAGATGAAAAAGGATGTGAATATACTTTAACTTTGAAACCTCTAAAAACTTTGATTTTGAAATGAAACTTTTATTTCTGTCATTTTCTGTGAAAAATTTAATGGATAAACAAATATAAATCAAGTCTATTTTGCATTATACAAAATTTAAGATGGAATTCTCAAATTAATTTTAAACGAAAAATTTTATCCAATTATTTATGGAGAAATATTTCTCACAAAATACATTTAAAATATAAATCTTAATTGGTTGCTAATCAGTCATTTATAAGGTATTTTGATAAAAATGCTTGCAAACTTCAAAACAATTTTTACATATTATAAAAAATTACCAAAATGTGCAAGTTATAGTTGGAATGTTTAAAGAGGGCTTTTTTAAAATTATTTTTTTGTAAATGAGTGGGAAGGAGAGGAGATTTTTTTGTTTATAATCACATTTGCATTACTTTCCGTCCATCCTTCTTTGAGACAGAATTTAAAGGTTCACCTTCTAAGTAAGGATTGTAGCGGCTGTATGATTGATGTTGCTTTTGTTGGGGAGCGATAGAACGTTTGCGTCGCCGAGGCTCCTGAAGAATGGAAGAAAAAATATTTGTTAATTCTATTTTTATTATACCTCAGCCCTAGTAACATGGAATTTCTTTGCAATCATCCTTGAAAAGGATAAAAGTATAGAAAAGCTATGAAGGTTACGACTTACGATTTGTGGAGTCCATTTTTGGCCAAGACCTGTTCTAAGTCTTGTTCATATTGCTCAGAATTGCTTTTTGTTTGACAACTGCAAAATAGAAATAATTTTTAAAAAATTACATATTTTTTTGAAATTCTTTATATTACTTAAACATGTGTTCTTGGTCACAAAGGCATTGCTGATTGGCCTGGTAGCTACGTGAAAAATCAGCGGTGTTATCAAACTCCTCCAAACATCCATCTCGACTGGAGTAGCCTACAGGGCAGGGATTTGGAGGATCACAATATGCTGGCAAAACATTGTCACTTTTAATCTCTTGGCGGTGTGAAAATTCAGATTCTGGGTGGAGTTGTTGGTCTCCTTCACCGGCACCTCCTAATTATTTACAGTAAATTTATTAAAAGAAATAATTTACAATAATTCACACCTGTCATAAATTTATGACCAAATGCAATTGGCCCGGAAGCACTTTCAATGTCACGGGAAATCAAGTCGATAAATTGTGAATCCGGAAATATCTAATTAAAATGTTTGTGTAACTTCAATGAATGATTAAAAATTTTTTATTGATTTTTAAATCCTACAGGTTCCCCAAATTCAGGCATTTGTTGGCCACCTGCTATGGCACCACATACGAACAAGGCAACACCAAGAAGCTCCACTAACATTTTGCAGTACAATGAAGAAAGGGGAATGAATATGAAGGAATTGAACGGAATGCGAAATGGCTAGGCATACGACTGCCTTTAAAGGCGTGGAAATACGTCCTAGTTTGAAGGCACACGCTCGGCTGGCACAAATCAATAATGCCAGCGGCCATAGAACAAAAAAGACGTTATATATTGTATTTCATGAAAAAAGCTGAGGAAATATATTTGAATTTTTAGAGTTGAGAACAAATGAAGAAATATTTAGTTACGTGTGCCTTGTATATGTGCCTTTTTATTTAAAATATAAAATCTGCGCTCTCCATAAAACGTAAATTGTAACTACCATAAGATACCTATTAAGTTAGAGAAAAGGGGATTAATTTTTTTAAATTATAGAAATATATACAAAAAATTTATAAAGTAATATTTTAAACTAAAACAGTCAATTCCTCCAAATTATCATTTAAAACCAATTTATTTACAAAAACACTTCCATTTCTATGTCTCTTTAATGGTTTCTTCATCTGAACAAGTAATAATGTTGGTTCATCAGAATCCATTTCAGAATTATTAAAATAATTCCGAAAATTTCTTTTACATTCACGAGTATTTAAATTAAAGAGTAAACCTTTAATTAAATATTTTCAAAAAAAATTTTTATTTTCACCTAATGTCCACCAACAATCACACGTTAACGAAATAACCATTATTAGAATGCTTGCAACTAAACAGCAAAGAATTATTCCAATAAGTAAAACTCCCCCGATAGTAATTGAACGAATCTAAAAAATTTTAATTTAAATTTTGATTCAAAAATATTAAAAATTCTATCATTCCACTTCCTTAAAATCAAAAATTTATTTTTCTGTTGTCAGGATCCCTGATATTTATCTACTAAAGAAAATAATCTCCGCAGGCTTAAACCTACCATTTAGATTTTTTCCTCTTCTAATATATTTAGTAGTAGCATTAAAGACTTCTCAACGAGAAGTATCAAAGCATTATTCAAGATTATTTTAAGAATAATTTTATAAATTTTTTTTTTGGAAAAACAAACTTTTTTTGGGGGATATAGGGCATACATTAAATAGTTATATATACATAGGGTATACATAGGGCATACATTAAATAGTTTTAAAATTAATTTAAAACATAGCCTACCGCAAATTCTGTTAAAATTAAAAATACTACCTTAAATTCAACAAACCAAATTTCAAACCTAATCACTGAAGAATCCCTGAATTAATCCCATAATTTGACTAAAAGTATGGGTATATTGCCCTTAACTTATTTACAATTTCACCTAGCAATTTAATGAGCGTTTTAACCTTTTCTTCACTCATCATGTTTTTTTAATTTACGCCTTTTCCACACCCCCCCCCCCCAAATACATATATTTGTCAATCCATTTATTTTTTAGTTAGTTCACATATTTTTCAACAATTTATTTTTTATCAATACATTTATATTTTTTTAAGTTTACATACTTTTTTTTTTTACAATCACATATACAAATATTTTTTTCTCTCTCCCTTTTTAAACAAAAGTTAATTTAAATAAACACATTTTTAAGCAAAAATTTAAAATATCTCCTAAATTAACTTAACTACTTGTGCCTATTTATTTACTTTTAAATGTCTAAAACTCTTTATAATCCAAACTCCACATTTATTTGTACACACTCAACCATTTTAGTGGTATATTGTATACCCTTTGGTCTGAATAAAATTTATTTATTTATAACTTTTAAAAAATCCATAATAACAAAAAATTCCTTTTTATTCACCAAACGAATAAATGAAATAAGAGATGGCACTTGTGGAATGACCGTTAAAAACTTTTATTAGTTTAGACGGCTTTCTCTCTTTCCAAATTTTTTAGAAGAAAAAGGTTATTTTTTAATTAAAAAATATTTATTTGGAAAAACAAAAACTTTTATTTCTTTTGTTAAAAATTTGGTTGACTGGAATTTACGAAGAAAATAAAATTGACTTAAATTTTTCTTTGGATTTGTTTACATAATTAAATATTAGCCTAAACAAATTAATAATTTATTAATTAACTTATTGTTAGTCTTTCAACTAACTTGCTCAATAAACTTGTTACCCTCAATAAAACAAATTTGGTTACATCAAAATTTAGAGAATTCTTTTTTAGACTTCCAATTAACCTATTTAATTATTTTTTAAAAATTAAACAAAAACAATTTTAAAATAACCCGTTTATTTCTTTTTCTGTAAATCTGCAAATTGGAAATGCATTGCATAATAATAAAATTTAAAAAAGAATGGACAAAAAATGAGATAATTTTAATTTAATTACAAAAGATTTTCAAAAAATAATTAAAAAACTTTTTTGTCCATTAACTTATGGCAATGCTTTTAAAAAATATATTTTCGAGTACTAAATAAATAAAAAATTAAAAATATGTTTGTTTGTGCTTAGAAATTAATTTTGTTATTTAATTATCAAACGATATGAATATTTGGTGGTTCGCTGTGTCTATCAAATTGTTTTTGTTGTTTTTGTTCTCCTCTTTTATTTTCAATATCTGATTGTTGAATATTCTTTAAAAAATAATTTAAAGAAAAATAATTTTTATTAAAAAAAACTTTTTCATTTGAAGAATTTCTGTCGAGTAAAACAACTTTAATAGCCGAATCTCGAATTGATTGTTGATTGCTGCTACTTACAGGGGACCGCGGAGGATTGTTCTGACGCATACATTGAGAAATTGAAGTAACTGTTAACTAGAAAAATTGAAGTAAAATTTAAATTCCTTTTAAAAAGAAGTTGGTATCTAGGTATTTTTTGGACTAGGAAGGAGGGAGGCCCCATTCCAATTATTTTTTTCTTCTCAAGCATTATAAGTGAAATTTAAGTAAAAATTAAATGTTATTGCTTGACCAAAATAACCAAAAATGAAGAAAAGAATAACTGATACTCAAACTAGGTGGGAGGGGGGTGTCCAAAAAGTAACGGTGTTTATATTACGCGATCAAAAATTTTGTATTAATTTTTAATGTAAGGTTGAAGGTAAATAAAAATGGTTTTCCATAAATATTCAATCGTTACTTAAATTTTTGCGAAAAAATTAACCTCAAAAAGACATATAATAAATATATATTCAATAAATTTAAAAAAAAAAAACAAAAATTAACTTGTTCATCAGCTTCAGGCACAACACTCAACTTTTTCGAATTAGAGCGCATTTCAGCATTCAATTTCGAAGCAATAAATCCATTCGAACGATTTGTAGGTATTGAACGTGATCGAACTAATAAAGAATTAATTACTGCATTTGGACGGCGATTTTGTGTTTGGGAAGAGTTGGAGTCTTGTTTTGAATTATTTTTATTTTCATTTTCGTTGGTAAAATCTTTTTTGTCATCGGCACCCAATAAATCTTCACTGGCACGAGAAACAGGGGAAGAACTTTAAAAAGTATTGAAAAATTTTTTAAATAAATTAAAAACCTTTGTTTTGTTCCACTTATTAAATTAACCATTCGATCAGGACATGTTGCAAGAGCAAAAAGCCTATTTATTAAATATTAATTAAATAAATTTTAAAAGAATTACCAAGCAAAGAATAAAAAACAACATAACAAAACAATTAAAATAATAGCCAATAATTCATTCATTACAATATTTACATTATAAAAACTTTAAATTTAAAACAATAACAATTTTAATACAAAAAGGGGTAGTATAAAAATCTCATGACTTAAAATAACAATAAAAGCATCAAAATGGAAGGCACGACTGTCAATAAAAGAAAAAGCTGGTCAATAATTAAAGAATAATTAAAAAAAACATAATGCCAAATTAAAATATATTTTTAAATAATTTAAAGTAGAACCAGACAGGTCAATTTTAAAATCTCTATTTACTGGTCTCAGTTTTTCGATTCTAACCCGGTGGAACTTTTTTTATCCCTACTTCTTATTGACGATTAAATAATGTAACAAATTACACTAATAACATTTTTACCAACAAATGTGTTAATAAATGTAAAAATATGTTAAATCAATTCCTAATCTCTCTCTCTCGAATGATAACAAGTAATAAATAATTCCTCTATTTTCCACTTTTCCCACAAAAATAACCACACCATTTTGTTGTAAATAATATGTACATCTGTATTAAAAAATAAGAAAGGATTTAAAAAGGAATTTGCAAAATTAAATAAAAAAATATTTTCAATAATATCTATCGACAACTTTTTCTCTCACTCCGACCGACCTAATTTTTCAAAATTAATAACATTCTCGCCTTTAATCGGGAATATACAAAACATATGTATTTTCAG